TGAGCTGATTGCATCCTAATCATGCTCAAGTCACAGGAAGACGGCGAAAAGTCAATGCACGGGCGAGGTCATAGGTTAATGGGGATTCTCCGCGTTCAAGCTGTTGCGAAATCCATTGCGAAAGCGTAAAGTGACTTTCACTATTACAAGGGGTTTATGTGCAATGCGCTGTGTTCCCACGTAGCGCATGCGCATAAAGCTATAGAACACTTCTGTATTGATAACATTGTGTTATTCTATATCACTTCTATTCGCCTGTGTTGAAGTCCTAATAAATATAACGGCCATTATTTCAAAGCAGACGGTAAGACACAAATTTCTCCAACTGATACTAGATATCCAGGTACAGATCGCTGAAAAACGTGCTGTAATTACATGTTTATGGAAGTGGCAGACGACTTGACAGTAGTCAGAAGGAAGTTGAATGGTTTCCGAGGTAAGCAACATCCGCAATTTTTTAAATTTTTTTAATTTCGTTTATTCCATTTCCAACAAAATAAATAAAGTACATGGGATTGCATTGTACATAGTAAAACAATGAAACTTAACAATATATTTGTAATTGGTCCACAGTGTACAACAGGCATATAAAACAGGTTGGTCATGGAGGGGACTGCTGAAAAGCTGGGCTTGTAGATTGCAGCCCCTTATAACTTACAGTTGCAAAAATAGTACATCAATAATAAAAGAACGCACAAATACATTAACCAATAGACATAACATAGAAGGAGTGAAAGGGACAGGGAAAGAAGGGAGACAAGGAACGAGGGAGGGCAGGGCTCTTACCTATAACACACACAACACAACACGGGCCGACTGGAATACGGATGGCCAGTACAAAATGAATCAAAATATCCAAATATATTTTATTGAGTTAAATCAATTTAAAGAGGGAGAGCTAACGCTTGATTATTATTGGTAATAATGATTAAAATTGGTTTCGATTTAAGGTAGACATGACTGTTCTAGGAAGGATTGCAGATAATTAACGTTAGTGGGAAATATGCTAACTAAGTATAGGGGTGAATTCACGGCATTGATTAGTAGCCAGTATTGTAAGAGAGGGGATGATAAGAGAGCTAGATCACGAGGGAGAGAGAGGGTGGAGAGGGAGAAAGGAGAAGAAGAAGAATGAGAAGAAGAATAGGAGAATTACGAGGACGACGAGAAGAAGAAGGGGGAGGAGGAGGAAGACTGAGAAAAAAGGAGAAGGAGGAGTACAGTGGCGGATCCAGGGGGGGGGGGTCGGGGGGCCCGGGCCCCCCCCCCCCTTGAGAAAGAAATCATGTAAAATTATGTGATTTTTACCTTTTTTGGGGGTTGGCCCCCCCCCTGGCGCTCAAGGGGGGGGGGTGCAAATTGAAAAAAAATTGTGCTCACCACCCCCCCCCCCCCCCCCCCCCCCCCCCCCCCCACCCCCCCCCCCCCCCCACTGAGCGACTTTTCGGCCGGCGCGATTTTCAAATTTTCGGGAGCAAAAAAAAAAAAAAAGTTGGGCCCCCTCCCCTAAGAAATCCTGGATCCGCGCCTGGAGGAGTAGGAGGAGGAAGAAGACTGAGAAAAAAGGAGAAGGAGGAGTACACTCTTAATGTCAGCGAGTAAATTGTGCCGAGTAAAACAAGTTGAGTAACAAAATGAGCAATTCAGTACTCAAGCTGGAGTAAGACCTTGATTTTAGTGGTACTCGTCACCCGAGTAATTTGTTACCTTCGATAAAGAGTAAATCAATGACTCAACATTGAGTACGAATTTCGTTTGTATCAATTTTGAGTAAACTACGGTTGGGTATTACGCTGCGGCAGGTGATAAATAAATCAACATTGATCTCTACCCGAATTTACCTCGGGTGCGAGTGAAAGTTGGATCGATGGAAAGTGCAACTAGCTGTCAATATGCATGTGACACCTCTTCTACACATTTTTACATAATAGCAGCTGTATGTTCCTTTGTCTACCTAAGGAACTGGATATTTTGTACTCTTTCATTGTCCGTCATGTGCATGTCTCGTGCATGCATGTGCGCGTGCAGAAAGATGCGAAAGAACTGAGATACACTCTTAGAAAAAAGGGTGCAAAAAAGGGTGCAAAATAAGAGTTTGCACCCTTTACATAAAAATGAACCCTATTGAAGGAAAAGGGGTTAAAAAAAGGGTGCAATATAAGATTTGCACCCTTCCCACAAAAATGAACCCTATCGACCAAAAGAGGGTGCAAAATAAAAGTTTGCATATTGCATGCATATTCATGATTACTTTCCACGTGTTCACATAAAAATACATTTATCATGATTTGTTAAGCAAATTATGACAATGCACATCAATTTTTTGATTTTGTATTTTCCTTTGGCAATCATTAACCAATATATTATTTTGTCTGATCATGTTACAATTACATTCACGTTTTAGCAATAGATATATTGATTATATGATTACTAACCAAGAAACATCATGCATGTTTAATATGTATTTGTGTACGAGCAAATTTTTACCTGTATTCCTCGATGATGGGTGCAGGATTGCACCTTTTAAAGGGTGCAGGATTGAACCCCTAAAGGTGCTGCTATTGCATCGGTTTGCACCCCTAATGGAGTAAAAACATGTACTTAATTTAGTACATGTTTTTACTCAATATTGATTGAGCAACTAAGCGTTACCCAGAAAACATACTTAATAATTGAGCAAAAAAATCGCTCAAACAATTTGAGTCAAAACATGTACTCGTTAATTGAGTAAAATTTGGCTCAACTCATGAGCAGTTTCTTACTCGACATGAGTTGATTACGTTTCTACCCAGTACTGAGTAAAAAAGGAAACCGCTAAACAAAGAGTAAATATTGAGTAAAGGTTGACTCATTCAAACTGAATAGAGATTTAGTCTTTTATTGAGTAATATTTTTACTCAACAGATGGGTAGATTTGTTACTCAATACATGCTGAGTAAAGTTTACTCAAAAGTCGGGTGGTTTCCTTTTGACCACCCAAAAGAGTAACATTTTGACTCAAATTGAGCAGTTTTTTTTTAGAGTGTAGGAGGAGGAGGAAGAAGACTGAGAAAAAGAAAAGGAGGAGTAGGAAGAAGATGAGCAGAGGGAGAGGGGTGGGGTCTGATCGGGGGCGGTGCGGCTGGATATTATTGTTATTTTGTTGCCATGCGGCTCCAATATAATTATGCATAATAATTCTTTATTCACTTTAAATATGTGCATTATATTCTGCACGAGGGACAGATGCTTTTTAAGACCATGGACACTACCACTAGCCATGCTTAGACAGGCAAGATGATAAAATCCAGTAAAATCCACTGTTCTCGGAACGTAACCGAAATGCAAAGATTATAGACGAGGGAACTTTAAAATGATCGTCAGACTTTGTAAATAATCATGTAAGGCGTTGCCTTTTCTTTCCAGCAATATTCACTGTTATTTTGTCTAGATTATCTTTACTGTAAAAGTGACCAACAAAATGTATTTGTCTGTATCTTATTGTGTTGATGAGTGATGGTTTTACTCTGGCTATTCTGAACACTTACTTTTCCGTCTATGATATATTCCCAATCTTTCTCAAGAACCAAGTCTCTGTAGCCTGTAATCATGGACCTACTATTCTTTCAAGCTATATGTTATCTTCCCACATCAAGCCCGCAGGGAAGAATTAAACATGTAACTTATTTAGCTTGAGGATAAATAATCAGAGAAATGTAATGCCTTTAATTATTTATTTATACAAGGAAGTTGTTGAAGCCAAGCATGCATCAATTTCTTCCATTAGTAATTCCATACATCCAGGTATTTTTTAGACTACCACGCTTGCTTTCCAATCCACATTTAGTCCTGTAGAAGTTTTTCAGACCCGGAAAAGTTGTTAAGTACAAGGTTTTTTGTTGATTTGTGTTCTAGATGGGTATTAAAGTAAATTCAGCTTGGTTGCCAGCTTGGCAAACTTGGGCAACTTTTTTAATAGCCATATTAGCATAATCATCTAATTAGCATATGTGCAATATGTAATAATGTTGCTAATCTCAGTCTTTCTGGATTAAGATTAGTAACATTATTACATATGACTCATACAGTGTACATGCTAATTAGGCTAATTATACGACATCTACATGGAATATCTTCTAATGAATTAATGTGTAGTCTTTCAAAAGTGATTTACAATGTTGCATTGCACCATTTTTAGGCTTTATAGATAAAAAATGACAATAAATTCCATATATCATACATTATGCTAATTAGCTCATCATGCTATTTTAAGACAATTGCTTTACTCAAAAATAAAATATTGGTGTCATAAATGAATTCCTCGTCATGGAAAATCCTTGAAAAGTCACATTATCCATGTTTTCAGGCTTCCTGGATTAAGATTAGCAACATTATTACATACTGCACAAATATGCTAATTAAATGATTATTCTAATTAGGCTAATTATACTACATATACATGGAATATCGTCTCAAGAATTGATGATTAATCTTTCATAAGGGATTTACAATGTTGCATTGCACCATGTTTAGGCTTTATAGATAAACAATGACAATGAAGTCCTTATATTGTACATTATTATGCTAATTATGCTATTTAAGACAATTGTATTACTTAAAAATAAAAGTTGGTGTCATAAATGAATTCCTTGTCATATATAACCCTTGAAAAGTCGTATTATTCATGTTTTCAGGCTTCCTGGATTGAGATTAGGAACATTATTACATATTGCACATAATATGCTAATTAGATGATTATGCTAATATGGCTATTAAAAAAGTTGCCCAAGGTTGCCAAGCTGGCAACCAAGTTGAATTTACCTCAATACCCATCTAGAACACAAATCAACAAAAAAACCTTGTACTTATCAACTTTTCCAGGTCATGTACATGGTATATGGTACCGTCTACTGGACTAATTCAAGTATCTTGTAATTTGAGAACGATAGGTACTTACGACAAGCACATGATTTAAATAGCATCGTTTAATTCGTTATTTTATAGATAATTAAATGCTTAGGATGACGCAGGAGAATGAGAACTTCATTTTAAAGAAGGAAAGTTACATGTGACTGATCGTGCCGCTAAAGAAGACAAACTCTTTGCAGAATTAGGATAAGGCAAAACTTGTACAATTTACCCACAACAAATTAGAATGTCAGTTTATCGGAATCGAATCGATGGTTTTTCTTACTTTCTTGAACAAGTGTCTTTGGATACAATTATCAAGGACGCTCGTTATTCATCCTCCAGACTCTTGTCTTCATTTCTATTACCATCATCGCTTCGAGAATAGATGAAAATGAGCGGTGGAGACCTAACTTTGAAGAGAAATTAGAGCAATTTTATTTGAATTTTGTTAATAACTGTTTATAATTTTGATGAAGAAAAAAATCTTCATCTTTTCCATTATTCTTTTTAAACTTGCAGGTATTAGTCAAGCAGTAACCTTTGAAAACATGAAGTTCGCGCTGATGTACTTCGTTGTCTTCTTGAGCCTGGGTGTAGTCCTACTACCACAGAACACCGACGGGTCACCTACCTCAGGGACCAAGCCTCTCCCGAAGGAATGCAATATCGTCAATGACACCTTTGTTGATTGTCGTCATAAGGATTTGAGGACCATACCAACTGGCTTTCCAGCGACCGTTGAGACACTTCTCCTGTCGTACAACTCCATCCGTGTTATCACTAACGAGTCCTTCCACGGTCTTGTCAATTTAGTCACCCTGGAGCTCCACCACAACAGCATCTCGAAGCTTCGGTCGGTCTTCTTCAAAGATCAGGAGAAGCTTCGGTACCTCAGTCTCCATCATAATCAGATCGGAAAGCTTCCCAATGATGTCTTCGAGCATGTACAGGATTTAGAGGTTCTTGACTTATCGTACATGAACAATGGCTTCACTTCATTGCCCGTAGCTCTGACAGGACTGCTTAATTTGCGCGTGTTGGACTTTTCATCGAATCGTCTGCAGTCTGCGGGTTTCACACCTGATGCCACCTTTCCTGCCCTTCAAGAATTGCATCTCGGGAAGAACCAAATCAAATCATTGCAGAACGCAGATTTCAAAGCATTACTGGATTGTAAGCTCAGCTTTCTAGATATGACGGAAAATCAGGTTGTTGATATCGAAAGTGGCGTTTTTCATCCTATTGCGTCAGTTGCCGAACTGGACTTTTCCAAGGGGCTTGACCCCGTTGCTATACCTGCTCTATCGGAGGCTATATCCGACCAACTAGTTCATACTCTGTATCTCAAAGAAATCGATTTGGGAACACAGGACATCGACAAGTTTAAAGACTTGCGCAATTCAACGCTGGAAAAGCTCGATATTTCGTTTAATAACATCACTTCCTTGAATTCTGAGTTTTGGGGTCTATCAAATGTTACATCTCTGATTATTCAGAGCAGTCTCGTTACCACCATCGGCGCTACGGCATTTTCTGGTCTGCATCTGGTAGAAACTGTTGATCTTAGCAGTAACCAAATCGCAACTGTTAGGGATGGAATGTTTTCTGCTTTATCCAACACCAACCTGAAAAACACTCTACTTGAATTACAATAAGATAAACAATATCTCTGCTTCAGATGGCTTCCGTGGCCTTTCGAAACTCCTCTACTTAAAACTGTCCAATAATAAGATTAAGCAGAACTTCGTTGGTGAGGAATTCAAAGGCCTTGATTCTCTAGAAGTTCTTGATCTTGGGGTGAATACTAATATATTACTTTCACCTGATGCGTTCCGATTTTTACAAAGTCTTCAAACATTATATCTCAATCTAGCAAACATAAAAAATATAACTGTTGTGCCATCTCCGTTTGATAAATTATCTGGCCTTAAGAACCTTGACTTGAGCAACAACAACATGTCTGCTCTTCACGTAGATACATTTTCGAGCTTGGGAACCTCGGGACAATGTACCTCCAACACAATAATCTCTACAACATGTGGAACGAGACTATCCATGTCCCATTCCTGAAATCACTTCGACGGCTGAAATACTTGAATCTCTGTTACAATGGATTTCAGAACATCCCGAACAATTCATTAAGTAATCTTCCAGAACTCAAAGCCCTTTTCCTATGTCACAATAAAATTTCGCACCTTCAGGACAACATTATTAATGATCTGCCTCTGACCACTTTGGATCTGGGACACAATCAGATAAACCTGATCAACCAGACGCTCCTGGAACCCTTGCTTGGAACGCTGAAGGCCCTGACAGTCTCCGGGAACCCGTTTTCCTGCGGATGTGACCTTCAGTGGTTCAGGGAATGGCTCGATGTGACCCAGGTGCATGTCGATGACAACAGCCACATGATATGCTCATCCCCGCCCGACATGCGAGGAAAACTGGTCATTGATTTCCATCCCGAGACACTCAACTGTGATCATCGACTACCTCTGTACACCTGGGTCCTCGTCGGAGTCGGATCCTGTATGGTTTTCGTCACCGTCGCTCTTGCCGTCAAGTTCAGGTTCCACATCAACTACTGCTTCAACCTGGTCAATGCGAGGAGAAGGAAGTACCAGCGTATCAAAGGAGAGGATTTGCCATTCTTGTACGACGCGTTTGTTTTTTTCAGTCACAAAGATGAAGAATGGGTAAGAATTTTATCCCCCCCCCCTCCCCTCCCCATAGGCTCACTTATTCCTTCTTTCTCACTAAAAATGAAATGTGTACCGTGTAATTACCGCTTATAAACACTAAACTTACAGAGACTTTGTACCAACAAGTTTTATACTAACAAAATAATACAAAGAAATGTAATCGCAGCGTACATGTCGTACTTTATTGCTTTGTGCAAGTATTAGTGATTATCACAAATAAGTTTTTACGAAAACCATTAAGGAAAACATGTCTTTCTCTGATCATAATGTTACTTGGATGGTATTACAAAACTATGAATACCTTCTTTCAATACGTTTACCTATTCTTTTTTGCTCAACCTGCTAGGTCTATAATGAACTGGTTCGCCACCTAGAAGACGACAGTGGCCTCCGTCTGTGTGTCCACAATCGTGACTTCACGCTGGGCAGGAAGATTCTAGACAACACCATAGAAGCCGTTGACAGTAGCCGTTTCACCCTCTGTATCCTCTCGGCCGACTACCTCGACAGCCACTGGTGCAAGATGGAGCAAGAGTTTGCGATGGCGAACCTGATCGACCGCGACGTCCTCATCATCATCGCCCTAGGTGAGATCCCGGAGAATAAAATCACCAAGTACTACAAGCTGCACAAGGTGATGATGAAGCGAACCTATCTGAAGTGGCCCATGGAACCAGGCGTCCAGAGGAATGATTTCTGGATGAAGCTAAAGACAGTGTTGAGGGAACCAGAATTACGCATCAATAACAACGTCAGTATATAACAAGTGACTGAGGCCAGTTAAACACGAGGCGTTAACTGACGTAGGACTGTGTCAGCTGTTCGTGCGGTCTTTGACGCTCGTTATGAGAGGGACCCCCTTATACTCAAAGAAAATGTGTGAAATGAACAGTATAAGCATTCTTAATGGTGTATGTGCTAATTGCCTTGGCAGTAGGGTATTAGGGACTTTTAGATTTGCGTGGACTGATACGTGTGACGTCCATTCAAGGCAGTGCATTAAAAGGACGTCGATCGTAGCAATCCACGTTGTTGTTCGGCAAATCTAAAAGTCCCTAATAACGCCATCACAACGACGCCTTGTTTACAATGGGCACTGGATGTACAACAGAGTGTACCTACTATCATTTTGAAATCAAAATCGACTTGTAATGTACTCGTGTATAGGCAAAATATCATACAATTTCGAGCAAAGCTGTCTTCTGTTGGTACATATTTACTTTTGCATGAGAACAACCGGAATCATCACATTTTTTCATCGTTTTTCACTTTTCCAGATAAAATTTGTATGTTTTCTTGTTGATCTAAGAATATACAAACTTTACAAGTATTATGGAAGACAGGTTGATCAACCTTACCAATTCAGTGTAAATGGATTGCCAATATTATGGTATTTAAACAAAATGTAAACAGAAATTAGCAATTCTTCTTCTAGTTTACTTAAAGTAGATATTCATTGATTTTAAAAACTAACTTTATTTTCATTATTGCAAAGTTGAAACTATGATTCGACAAGGTTATCAAAATTCAATGCTTGGAAACATTCAAAGTAATTATTATTATGAATTACAAAACGCTTAAATACAGCCCCGGCATAGCACCTGAAGAGCTGTCCGAACGCTGCTGAGATGTGTGAGATCACAGTATGGACATGATTTGCACAAGCAGACGATGTCCCATGACATCTCACACATTTTCAGTGCCTGTGTTTTCATCTTCTCTTGAGTTCTCTCTCCTACTTCACTACCGTCAGGCTAAATGTATAATCTATTGCCTCACTCTGAACCCCGCGCATGGGTTTATTTTGATGACAAATGCAGCGATAAGAAAATAAAGGAATCTGTCGCTTGTTAACAAAATAAGACGCCATTGTATTTTCAGCTGCACACACCGCTGTATGTTCGGCGTTTCAAGAGGGAACAGATGCCGTCCTTAATATCATTCAGGTTTTTTTTTTCAATTTGAAAGTCTGGTTTCTTTGATTGTTATTAACCCCTATCCGCATGTGTATTGACAAGCAAAAGATTTTAGTTATCAGAATCGGGTCATATCCCCTCTTGAATGGTTTGACATGCCATTACATTTATATACACTAAACTCATTATAATTTGACAAATAATAGCTTTGCAATTATGTTCATTCTTTATGGGATGTCGTCTGCTTGGGCAGTATTGGTCCATATAGTGACGTCATTAAAACATCGCAATTTTTCCAGCGAATCTCTCGTATATCCCAGCTGCTATGGAGGTGGTTGTATTTGTATTTTTAAAAATCACCCCATATGTAGTTGACCTAAAACTTGTACGATGGCCATCTGTTAGCTTACCAGTTTCTAGTGATACATTAGTTGACGTATTTGTGATTTTCTTTGAATTTCACCTTTAAAGTTAATACAGGGCATGCAATGTACCAATGACAAATAGATAAAGATTCATCTTACTTAGAAATCTCTGCAAATCGAACTTCTTTAAATGCATTGAAAGAACAAAAAGTCGAATCATCAAATCTTTCAAAAGTTAATCACATTGTATGCATGTATATTTTGCAACTACGGTATAGTAATAAGAGCTTCTTTTTTGTGTATATCATTTGGCTAAGATGCAATTCGTACACAAATATAAAACACTGCCAGAAACAAACCTTGTGAGCACGATATTGCAGTGAATACCTGAATTATGATGTATGTATGTATGTATCATTAAAAGTGGTAGGCGCTTGGTCATACTACACAATATTCCGACAATAATTGCTACGCAGTCAAATGTTAGGTCTACCCTATCCGAGTTCCTAACTTCAACCCTGGATCAAACACTATTACCTAACTCACTCCAATCCTAACATCTGTACCCTAATACCTAATCGCTATCCTAACATCTGTACCCTAATACCTAATCGTTATCCTAACACTCACTGTATCTTTTTGACGAAGTAAAGCGGGGAGCAATAATAATAATGTCGCCAGGGGTCACCTGGGCCGTGTTTTTATAAAAGTCGTTATCAATAACAAGTGACAGTAACTGTCACAAGCTACTGAAATCGTGGCTTCTGATTGGGCTGAGAGTAAATTTGGCATAGAAAGTTTGCATTTGTTATTGATGACAAGTTTCATTACTCGTGATAGGTGTATTGGGCATAGTCGTTCATTCACTTGACTTTCAATCCAAGAGTTGCTAGTTCGAATCCCAATATACACTAATATAGTACTGAAGTGTGACGTCATATTGGCCTAGTTGTCAAGGTTCTGGTTCAAAACAAGTTTGTGCTAAACAATGGTGTGGTGATCACACCGACCCCAAACACTAAATTTACCCTGCTCCAGCCCCTTGCTTGGATTTTTTTGCAGTGAACCCCATGCGCAGGCACTGTAGTTTAGAACCAGAAACCTGACAAATTCGGATGGATTCTGCCCCCGGCCCATTTAAGGTTTGAAGAAGAAAAAGAAAAAAAACAGCCTCCCGCGGTCCGGACTTATGCTCTAGATCATTCATGGGAATTCCCACCATTAGTCATTGTGTTATTTTTTCCTCTCTAAATTCTTTATCCTTTCATGTACGTGATTCAACGTTTATCTTATCTCACCCCCCCCCCCTCATTTCCCCTTTCCTCTTTCTCCGTTTCTCTCTCCCTCCCCCCCCCCCCCCCTCTCTCTCTCTCTCGCCCCATTTCTCTCTCCTTTTTTTTTTCCCTTTCACTCTCTCTCTCTCTCTCTCTCTCTCTCTCAGTCTCTCTCCTCTCCCCCAATCGTCTCCTCCTCCTCTCCTTACCCCCCCCCCAGTACGTCCTCTATATATATCGGCTGGAAAGGGTGAGGTAACATAATCTGTGATACAAACATATCGGGTTAGAGTTAGAATTCGGTTTGGTAGCCTGGTCTATCCAAAATTGGATGTTAGAAATGTGAACAGTATTTTTAAAAAATTACCCCCCCCCCCCCCCCCCCCCGTGTACGCGCCTGTTTAGAATCATCCCATTAAGCTTGACTTGCTAAATTTAATGGCGGTCATGTATTAGTAGAGAACCTACCACCATTTTGTAATCATTCAAAATAGACTTTTTCTGAACGTCTGGGCTGACTGCACCCTAATCATGCTCCAGTCACAGGAACACGGCGAACAGTCAATGCACGGGCGAGGTCAGGGGTCGGTGGGGATTCCCCGCGTTCAAGCTGTTCACCTGTTCACACACAGTGCATGCAGCATCCATTGCGAAAGCGTATAGTGACTTTCACTATATTAGGGATGTATGTGCAATGCATACTGTGTTCCCACGAAGCGCACGCGCATATAGCATAGCTATGCTAGAACACTTCTGTATTGATTACGTTGTGTTATTCTATATCACTTCTATTCGCCTGTATTCGCCTGTATTCGCCTGTGTTGAAGTCCTAATAAATATAACGGCCAATATTTCAAAGCAGACGGCAAATGAAACAAAATTTCTCCAACTGATACTCGATATCCAGGTACAGATCGCTGAAAGCGTGCTGTAATTACATGTTTATGGAAGTGACAGACGACTTGACAGGGCTTGACAGTAGTCAGAAGGAAGTTGAATGGTTTCCGAGGTAAGCAATATCCGCAATTACTGGTAATAAAAATTAAAATTGGTTTCGATTTAAGGTAGACATGATTGTTCTGGAAGGATTGTGGATATATCTGCATTGCTAATTAACGTTAATTGGAAATTAGGAAAATATTTAAATTAAGTATATAAGGGTGTATTCACGGCATTAGTAACCAGTATTATGCAGTTGTAAGAGAGGGATATAGTTAGATAGCTAGATCAGGAGGAGAGAGAGAGAGAGAGAGAGAGAGAAAGAGGAGAGGGAGAGAAAGGAGAAGAAGTAGAATAGGACAATTACGACGACGACGAGAAGAAGAACAAGAAGAGGAGGCGGAGGAGGATGCAGACTGAGAAGAAAAGGAGGAGGGGGAATTGGGGGAGGGGGAGGAGGAGGAAGACTGAGAAAAAGAAGAGGGGGGGGGGGGGGGGGGGGAGTAGGAAGAAGATGAGCAGAGGGGGCGGTGCGGCTGGATATCGGATCCAATATAATTAGGCGTTGAACATATTCGTTATAGTCACTTTGTGCATTATCTTCTGCCCAAGGGACAGTGTGGTAGGATCCATGCTTAGACAGGCAAGGTGATAAAATACAGTGGTTGATATTGATTTTTACTCAACATTATACCACACGATTCATTTCTATTATGGGAATCAGTCAATCAGTTTTTAAATGATTTGCATCTGTTAATCATTTATTTACATTATCTTTGAACATCCACATGAATATTTTAGATAACTAGTCAAACAATCATATCAGGTTTAAGTATTTGCTTAATATTAACTTGTATACTTGAACCAACATACGACTATTAATAAAATTATGTTTTCTATTTGGGCCAAGGCGCATATGAGTTTGTGTTTCTTTAATGATTATTACAGCAATCTTAAAATGTGCTCATGGTCTATCACTTGGAGAGACGGTGCACAAAGCTAGCTGCATTGTATTATGTGTAGTTCCATGTGTTTATATTGATATCAGTTAAAGTTGTCTAAAGAAATCTCTGTAGTGATTGTTGGAAAAAGAAACATGTGCTGAGGTTACATGGTAAACAAAATTAGGTTTCGTTGTCTAATCTTAGACATTATTGTTATCATTACTTTTATTATTGGTATTATTATCATTATCATTATTATTAACATTACTATTATCATGTTATTATCTACACCTACATGATATTGATATTATCCAGGCCTATAGAATACGAGGCACTTGTTTTTGAATATATGAAACTCGAACAATGGGAATCATTATCATAGTAATTTGAGATATCACAATCAATATACACCATCATTAAGCGGGACAAAACCAGGAAATATTGTGAAAAGGGAATAACTGTGTCTTTTTATAGCCATTGAAATGGAATAAATATTTAGAATACATTTTTACAAACATTGAACATGTTGAAAAGCATTGTACGCTTACACAACTCATGATACATGCCTAATCGTTTTGACCAAAAATCGCTTGATCCAAATTTAATTATTTTCTAGTTGCATGAAATCATTTATAGAACATTTTTCGTATTTGTATGCTATATTGCCGTATACGCGCGGAACAAAGAGAGATTGGAGCTCAGAAACAACATCTATACGAACACTCAATGTATTTCGATGCCCATTCGACGAGCAACTCAGTAATAAAAGAATATAATACAGAATATTGGAGAGGTGTATAATTATGTACATGAAATGTGCGTATCCTATATAAAATGAAACCAACCTGTGTCCCCTCTTTACCCCCCCCCCCCCCTCCTCTCCCTCCCTCTCTCTCTCTCTCTCTCTCTCTCCCTCCTGTAGATGCATAACTTTCACAGGGTAATTGGTTACTCTGGCTGATTCAAGGGGGCACAACTAGTCTGTGCCCCTAATCTCGCATTCCTAAATTACACTTTTTATTTTGTTCTTGCCAGTCTCGGAAATTTTCTAAATTATACCCTCTTTTGAAATCCTGGGTCCGCTCCTGATTTTACATCACATATCCCCCCCCCCCCCCCTCCACTGGAAGGTTCTGTTCCCCTACTGATCATTTTCGGGATACGCCACTGCTGTAGGCTTCTCCAGTGAGTCTTTATGGGAGAATCTCAGGTCATGTATCGTGTACAAGATCAAACCATAAATTTCCAATCGTACTTTTTTTTACCGAGATGGCCCAAGATTTGTTTAAAGGAGCAGTTTGTTACTAAAGATAGAAAGGATTCCAAACAATTTATAAATTATTATGTCTGTGTTGAATAAGTCATTAAAAAAGCATGACAAAAATATGTGTGTAACGTTATGTTTCCGTTCAATCTCATGTTTATAACTTACCAAAAGCTCAGTGCACATTTTTTCTACGAGGAGCAATCCCGGTGGAAACACTATTTACAAAAAATGCCTCTAGAATAAAATTAAAAACATTAAAAAGTGTATTAAAAAAAAGTACTCAACCAATTTTGGCACATTTGGTATCATTTTTCTGCTAAAATTATTCCCCATCTACTGATACTGGTAAACTTTCTCCCGCATTATTGGAAGTAAGCTAGTCCGTTCGAGAAAGAGGGGGGGGGGGCGGCTTGTATGGGGATTGGTTGCCAGAGGAAAAGAGAAAGCGAAAGTGTATCATATGATAATTGAGACCTTAGAGCTCTTGAGAATAAGTATGTCCTTCAGCTGAAAGTAAAGGTGAGCAAAGTAGCCTTCCACTTACATATTTGAAACCGATGATCAAACTTGATGACAGAACACCGGAAAGCAGGGAAGTTTCAATGGGGTGGTTAAACTTTCACTGTCCCAGATTAAAGATACTTTCCTTATTTTGATACGACCCGCAAGACCAGTGGAACACAATGACAAATGTGTCTATCCGGAAATTCAGGAATTGCAGACTCCCGCCATAGATCATTTTTAAAGACTGTCATTTAGTTTTATTTCCAACGTGTAAGTCAAACTCTTGGACAAAGAGGTTTGAGATTGAGAACTTCAAAGTCATTTATGGTTGGTTGAGGCAAGTGAATTGATTGATTTTCCACCAAAAATTGAAAGTATATCCATGATCCACAATTGCGTGATTTGCAGACCCCGCCTCAAACCATTAAAGGTATTACAAGGTTTTGGTATGTGGTCATGAATTTGGTTCAAATGAACATTTTAGAAGCATTATGTGATAATACAATATTCAATGGTCGTTGTCGTGGTTGAAATCGAGCCTACAGTGAGATGAAATTGTAAATAATAAACTCTTTATATTGAATAGCGCCCTCTTAAGACTGATATTTCTGTAGCTTCAAAACATTTTTTTTAATACTACAATCGACCGATTTGCTATTCCCGTTTGGAAATTATATATCAGGGCCCGTATTCAATAATTGATTATTCAATTTCTCGAAAGCAGAAGTGTTGAAGGAGCTAAAATTTCTAGTGCTTATAATACATCCACAGAGGCATTCAAATATATCAACATTTTAAAGAATTACTATCAATCCAATATTCAAAATTTCCCAAAAGTTTGCATTACCTTTAATATATTAGATTTATTTTTAACATGTAATTCGACGGAGAATAGTTTATTCGCTGTACTTAATGTCTTTGAAATTGCCAACTGATCGACATAAGATTTCAGATTAAGGACTTGAAAATGAATAATAATTGATTGCTTAAGAAAGTCAATGAACCTATCCATGATTTTCTTGGAAGGTATCCGAAATGCAAAGATTGTAGACGAGGGAACTTTAAAATGATCGTCGGTCGGTTGGAAAATCAAGTCTCTTAAGCTTCTTTCCTGATTTCATATAACTTCATCATCATCATCATCATCATCATTAAGTACGTCTGTTACAGACATCGGCGGTCATGACCTTCCATTTCTGTCTATTATCTATTCTCAAAAAGCTGGTATTGCTGATTTCATTTTTTGGTTGCTCATTTCGTTCAGGCTTTGTAAATATGTAAGGCGCTGTCTCCCCTGCTTCTCTTTCCAGCAATCTTCCCTGTTAATATTGTGTTTTTGTCTACACTATCTTTTCTTTAAAAATGATCAACAAATTGTATTTGTTTGTTTCTTATTGTGTTGGTTTTACTCTGACTATTCTGAACACTAACTTTTCTGTCCATGATATATTCCCAATCTTTCTCAAGAACCAAGTCTCTGTAGCCTATAATCATGGACCTACTATTCTTTCAAGCTATATGTTATTTTCCAACACTCAAGCCCGCAGGGAAGAATTAAGCATGGAGCTAAATTTTGCTTGATGTTAATAAACTGTAATGTAAAGTAATAAAATGTAATGCCTTTAATTATTTATTTAAACAAAGAAGTTGTTGAAGCCAAGCATGCATCAATTTCTTCCTTTAGTAATTCCATACATCCAGGTATTTTTAAACTACCAAGCTTGCTTTCCAATCCACATTAAAGTATGTTGTACTTCGAGAACAATAGGTACTTACGACAAGGACATGATTTAAATAGCATCGTTTAATTCGTGAAATGTTAATCATGATATTTTATAGATAATTAAGTGCTTAAGATGACGCAGGAGAATGAGAAGTTCATTTTAAGAAGGAAACTGACATGTGACTGATCGTGCAGCTAAAGAAGACAAACTCTTTGCAGAATTAGGATAAGGTAACTTGTACAATGTACCCAAAACATTTTAAAATTTCAGTTCATCTGAATCAAATCGATAGTTTTTCTTACTTCCATGAAAAAGTGTATTTGGATACAATTATCAAGGATGCTCGTTATTCATCCTCAAAGCTCTGTGTCTTCATTTCTTTTACCATTATCGCTTCGAGGATAAATGAAAATGAGCGGTGGAGACTTAAATTTGAAGAGAAATTATCGATTTTCTTTGAATTTTGTTTAAAATTTTGAAGAAAAACAAATTTCATCTTTTCTATTATTCTCTTTAAACTTGCAGGTATAAGTCAAGCAGTAACCTTTGAAAACATGAAGTTCGCGATGATATACTTCGTTGTCTTCTTGAGCCTGGGTGTAGTTCTACTTCCACAAAACACCGACGGGTCACCTACCTCAGGGACCAAGCCTCTCCCGAAGGAATGCAATATCGTCAATGACACCTTTGTTGATTGTCGTCATAAGGATTTGAGGACCATACCAACTGGCTTTCCAGCGACCGTCGAGACACTTCTCCTGTCGTACAACTCCATTCGTGTTATCACTAACGAGTCCTTCCACGGTCTTGTCAATTTAGTCACCCTGGAGCTCCACCACAACAGCATCTCGAAGCTTCGGTCGGTCTTCTTCAAAGATCAGGAGAAGCTGCGGTACCTCAGTCTCCATCATAATCAGATCGGGAAGCTTCCCAATGATGTCTTCGAGCATGTACAAGGTTTAGAGGTTCTTGACTTATCGTACATGAACAATGGCTTCACTTCATTGCCCGTAGCTCTGACAGGACTGCTTAATTTGCGCGTGTTAGACTTTTCATCGAATCGTCTGCAGTCTGCGGGTTTCACACCTGATGCCACCTTTCCTGCCCTTCAAGAATTGCATCTCGGGAAGAACCAAATCAAATCATTACAGAACGCAGATTTCAAAGCATTACTGGATTGTAAGCTCAGCTTTCTAGATATGACGGAAAATCAGGTTGTTGATATCGAAAGTGGCGTTTTTCATCCTATTGCGTCAGTTGCTGAACTGGACTTTTCCAAGGGGCTTGACCCCGTTGCTATACCTGCTCTATCGGAGGCTATATCCGACCAACTAGTTAATACTCTGTATCTCAAAGAAATCGATTTGGGAACACAGGACATCGACAAGTTTAAAGACTTGCGCAATTCAACGCTGGAAAAGCTTGATATTTCGTTTAATAACATCACTACCTTGAATTCTGAGTTTTGGGGTCTATCAAATGTTACATCTCTGATTATTCAGAGCAGTCTCGTTACCACCATCGGCGCTACGGCATTTTCTGGTCTGCATCTGGTAGAAACTGTTGATCTTAGCAGTAACCAAATCGCAACTGTTAGGGATGGAATGTTTTCTGCTTTATCCAACACCAACCTGAAAACACTCTACTTGAATAACAGTAAGATAAACAATATTTCTGCTTCAGATGGCTTCCGTGGCCTATCGAAACTCCTCTACTTAAAACTGTCCAATAATAAGATTAAGCAGAACTTCGTTGGTGAGGAATTCAAAGGCCTTGATTCTCTAGAAGTTCTTGATCTTGGGGTGAATACTAATATATCACTATCACCTGATGCGTTCCGATTTTTACAAAGTCTTCAAACGTTATATCTCAAACTAGCAAACATAAAAAATATAACTGTTGTGCCATCTCCGTTTGATAAATTATCCGGCCTTAAGAACCTTGACTTGAGCAACAACAACATGGCTGCTCTTCACGTAGATACATTTTCGAGCTTGGGTAACCTCGGGACAATGTACCTCCAACACAATAATCTCTACAACATGTGGAACGAGACTATCCATGTCCCATTCCTGAAATCACTTCGACGGCTGAAATACTTGAATCTCTGTTACAATGGATTTCAGAACATCCCGAACAATTCATTAAGTAATCTTCCAGAACTCAAAGCCCTCCTCCTATGTCACAATAAAATTTCGCACCTTCAGGACAACATTATTGATGATCTGCCTCTGACCACTTTGGATCTGGGACACAATCAGATAAACCTGATCAACCAGACGCTCCTGGAACCCGTGCTTGGAACGCTGAAGGCCCTGACAGTCTCCGGGAACCCATTCTCCTGCGGATGTGACCTTCAGTGGTTCAGGGAATGGCTCGATGTGACCAAGGTGCATATCAATGACAACAGCCACATGATATGCTCGTCCCCACCTGACATGCGAGGAAAACTCATCATTGATTTCCATCCCGAGACACTCAACTGTGATCATCGACTACCTCTGTACACCTGGATCCTCATCGGAGTCGGATCCTGTATGGTTTTCGTCACCGTCGCTCTTGCCGTCAAGTTCAGGTTCCACATCAACTACTGCTTCAACCTGGTCAATGCGAGGAGAAGGAAGTACCAGCGTATCAAAGGAGAGGATTTGCCATTCTTGTACGACGCGTTCGTATCTTTCAGTCACAAAGATGAAGAATGGGTAAGAATGTTATACCCCCCCCCCTCCCTCTCCCGATATGTTCACTTGTTCCTTCTTTCTCAATTAAAATAAAATTTGTCTCGTTTAATTACTTCTTATAACACTAAACTTAAAGAGACTATATGTACCAACAAGTTTCATACCAACAAAATAATACAAAGAAATTAATCACAGCGTACATGTCGTGCTTTCTTATGTATGCAAGTAAGTAATTATCTAAAATAAGTTTGTACGAAAACCATGAAGGAAACTTGTCCTTCTCTGAACATAATGTTACTTTGATGATATTACAAATATTGCAAACTATGAATACCTTCTATTAATACGTTTTCCTATTCTTTTATTTGCTCACCCTGCTAGGTCGATAATGAACTGGTTCGCCACCTAGAAGGCGACAGTGGCCTCCGTCTGTGTCTCCACAAGCGTGACTTCATCCTGGGCAGGAAGATTTTAGACAGCATCATAGAAGCCGTTGACAGTAGCCGTTTCACCCTCTGTATCCTCTCGGCCAACTACCTAGACAGCCACTGGTGCAAGATGGAGCGAGAGTTTGCGATGGCGAACCTGATCGACCGCGACGTCCTCATCATCATCGCCCTCGGTGAAATCCCGGAGAAGAAAATCACCAAGTATTACAAGCTGCACAAGCTGATGATGAAGCGCACCTACCTGACGTGGCCCATGGAACCAGGCGTCCAGAGAAATGACTTCTGGGTGAAGCTAAAGACAGTGTTGAGGGCACCAGAATTGCGCATCAATAACAACGACGTTATATAACAATGTCAAAGTGAGGCCTTTTGCACACGAGGCGCCATATCGACGCAGGACTGTGCCAGCGACTCGCGCGGTCTTTGTCGCTCAATATATACATTGTACGGAATTTTGAGAACAAACTAAGGCCTTCTGGAAATCAAAGCTTTCCATTTAACTATCAGTCATCAAAACTTTAATTGATATATTTCTATGAAGACTTCACTAATTCCGCCTGACTCTTCTGCAAAGGTGTTAGCTGTGCTTTTAACAAATTAGACGAGGAATATCTTTCTTTCTTGCTCACTGTATGATCGTCACGTCACTCTACCTGCTCATGAATGGAATTGTATATATTTACGCGCTATATACCATGTAGGCATTTTATCATTGTGTGTTTCATGCTTATCACAATCGTTTCATTTATAGATTGCAAGCGTCCCACAAACTGCAAACGCGAAAATATCAAAGCTATACTGTAATTGAAGCACTACCGCAAAATCCCCTTTAGCGCAATCTCAGGTCAACTGCAGCAGTATGGTCCTGTAACTTGTTGCTTCCCTAAAGCTACGCTGTTGATTCTCGGATCGAGTCCACTGTGTGCGAAGGGAAAGTAGATAACGGATTATACACTGTTGGCAAGTTGACCATAAGAAGGCACTGTGTAATAAACAACGCTAGGTCAGAAAGTTCATCAGTTCAGTATCGCTTTAATATGATATTAACGGTAATGAACAGTTATGTATTATGAGTGTGCGCATAGAGTGGGTTAGTTATTGATAAACTTATATTTTCTATATTAAAGCTAAGGCAAATTTGGTTTGGCCGCGGGTACGTGCCTCCTGTGCCCGAACCCTCCTGGATCTGGCCTTGCAATAATGGTCATGTTTTCCTTGCATTACCTAATGAAGAGGATATAATAATTATAATACCTGTTTTTGCCAATCGATTGGGGCATGTACCCCCTTTAGCTGCGCTACTGTTCGTATTATCATTTTTGTTAGGGGGATTTATACGGATTGCCAATATTATGGTATCTAAACAATATGTTTACAACAAATAGTGGTTTTTCTTCTAGTTAACTGAAATTAAATACAGGGCATGCAATGTACCGATGAAAATAGATAGATATTCATCTGACTTAGAAATCCTTGCAAATTGAACTTCTTTATATCCATTGAAAGAAAAAAATTGAATATTGTATATATTTTGTAACTATAGTAAATAGTAATAAGAGCATTTTTTTGTATATCATTTGGCTAAGATGCAATTCGTACACAAATATAAAACACTGCTAGAAACACACCTTGTTAATAACGCGATATTGCAGTGAAAACCTGAATTGTGATGTACGTATGTATCATTAAAAGTGGTAGGCGTTTGGTCGCACTCGGCTACACAATGTTCCGACAATAACTGCTTCGCGGTCAAAGTTTAGGTCTACACTATCTGAGTTCCTAACTTTAAACCTGGATCAAACACTGTACCTAACTCCAATCCTAAATTCTATACCCTTAAACCTAATTACTATATACACTAAGTGTATCTTTTTGACGGAGTAAAGCGGGGAGCATTGTCGCCGGAGCAATATTATTGTGGGTTCACCATGGCCCTGTTTCGTAAAGCTTGTTATCACTAACAAGCTACAGGCCTACTGAAATCGTGGCATCTGATTGGCTGAGAGCAAATTTGGCATAGAAAGTTAGCATTTGTTATTGATAACAAGTTTTATGAAACAGAGCCCTGGGGTGTTTCATAAAGATGTTCGTAAGTTACGCACGACTTTACGCACGACTGGAACATGTTCTTCGGTGCTAATCAGATTCTCAATCATTTACATGTAGCACAAGAACTTATCACCAGTCGTGCGTAAAGTCGTGCGTAACTTACGAACAGCTTTATGAAACACCCCCCTGGTGCAGTAACTCGTGATAATTGGCATAGTCGTCCATTCACCTGACTTTTAATCCATGGGTTGAGATTGGGTACCTGGCAAAGTGGCAATTGCTGGGGTAATAATGATTGCAATGCCCCCAGGATTCGGAAGAATAGCATTGATGCTGATGAGACTTGGTAAATAAAAGTATTAGTAGCAGTAGTAGCAGTAGTGGTGTAGTAGTAGAAGGAGTAGTAGTAATAGTAGTAGTAGTAGTAGTAGTAGTAGTATCATCATTACTATATCATCATTACTATTATTACATATTGTTATTATGATTATTGTATAAGCGATATATGCTTAAATATTGTGACCGTTATCGTAAACAAAAATGTACTGAAGAAAATGAGAGCATTATAGGTATACCCTTGAATTTTGATATGTTGACATTGGGTACCTGCAGATATTTGAACCCTGGATATTGCTGTGCTTATTCGATAAGAAGATGGAATACTTGATGGGTGGCTGTGGCGTCATCAAATTCAAGTATATGCTATTATTCCGCTGATATTTTCGCTCAGGGGCGGCTCCAGGATTTTGTAAAACCTATCCCACTTCTCCAAAGATTTAGAGGGGGAAAAACACGGTTATCGAATATAGAAAGGGGAACCAATTCCACAAACTTATCAAGCAGGCAAAATTTCTGCAACCCCTCTACCGATCCGCCCCTGCAGATGAAATTATGTTCTATGTTGCAACATGAGGGCTTGAGTTTGTATCACAGAATTTTGCAAGTTACACCGTATTCTGCTTGGATGGAGAGAGGAAGAAAAATCATCAAAAAGGGAAGATTAATATAGATTTGTAATATATTATAGCTAAATTGCACCGACATAATTACCTTCCACATAATTATCAATATTTGTAATTGTTATTACAACTTTTTAGCAAAGATACGTTAGATTGATGTTCACTTTCCTTTAATATGAATATATTTCTCTTAAAATAAGATTTTCTTCACTTCACTGTTGTTTGAGTACATGATGAAATAGTAAATTCGTTATATTTGCGTTAAAATACATGTATTTGCTTTTTTATTTCACGTTGACTCTTTTGTAAACACCGTTAAATGTTACCATTTTAAAATGATTATCATCGCTTGCGGTTGTTTGTATCATCCTTATAAAACCCAAAGTTGTGAGTTCTCAACAAGAAATATGAAATAAACTGTGCTTGCCTATATTGATCGAAATACCGAGATCCCGGCCCCCCCCCCCCCACTCAGTGTTATTTAGGGTACGCATATGCTCGTTCCCTCTTTTTGAAAGCACCCCCTATCTGAGGACTGCCAACATTTCCGATCCCCCCTTTCGCGGGCTTTTCGCGGGCTTTTCCTGCCTTAGAGACCCCCCTAAATCAGGAAAAATGCTCAATGTACCCCCCCCCCCTAAATTCTAAATAACTTCTCAGGAGTCCAAAGAGATGAGAGAAAAAAAGGAAAAACACCCCCTTTTTAAAGAAATCTCCGGGTGAAAAGTCAAATACAACCCTTTTTTTACAATTCTCGGGCCGGACTTTGTCGCACGAAAAGCACCCCTTTACCGGATATTTTGGCAACACGCATGCGGTCATTCCGACCCCTGAGTGTGGGGGGGGGGGGGGGGGCGGGACCGAGATAGCCAATTGAAGAGAAAAACAATCCTTTGTAAATCTGTTCTCGTTCTGTTCCAACCAATATACGAAGAGGTTGATTCCAAAAGGGGCTAAATCCACATTAGACCGAAATCGATTTGTATTTATTATTATAAAAAAATCTTTTGCGAGAGAGTGAAAGAAAGAGGGGGAGTGAGGTTTTGAAGGAAGGGGAGGAAGGGGAAGGAATGGAAAGTAGAGATAGTGTGCGAGATAGAGAGAGAGAGAGTAGGAGGATTAAATCAAGAGTGTACATAATTCCTCAGACTAGACCTTTTAAAAGACTTTTAAAAACTTCATTATACATGTTCTGGTCCGTAGTATTTTATTTTGAAGGATGTCACATCTTGTATCCAATTCACTGCAATACTAACGGATAGCCAGGGCGTACTACGTAACTAAGTCAGAGTAGCCTAACTTGTCTTTATGCACAGAAACAGAAATCGCAGTGAAGTAGAATCTCTTGGAATATAAGGTCTTCTAAGTCTGCCCGTGTTGAGCTCTAAGAATAAAATAAACCAGGGTTACTCCAAAATAGAGCTTTATCAGGTGAGTTATCTTTGAAGATTTAGCTTAATTTAGTGTTGCTCAAAATAAGCAATGAAATAGTAGTTGTTAAATTTTATTCTGAGGTTGTGCATATATTAGACTGGGGATTTCCAAGATTTTGCAATCGACCGTGGTGTGTCCCATTCATTCAATTTCATGTAGGTACCGGGCGCGGGCATCGTACCGGTAACAACATGTTTAGACTTTAGTTGATTTTTTTGGTATGTTCTAGTAGTCTAGAGCATCTCAATGCGGGGCAGCGTTTCTCGAAATCGTCTTAACTTCAAGTTCACCGACATCCCATTGAAACGCGTGTTAAACTTAATACACGCGTTTCAATGGGATGTCGGTGAACTTGTTGTTAGGTCTAGATCTATGACAGTTTCGAGAAACGCTGCCCTGGAGTCACAGGTCAAAAATGGATACGAAGGTACACTAGCGCCACTTGTTTTGTTATGAAAATGATCGCTCTGCTCAGACCAGATCAAAGTCAAAATGATTTTTTTCTTTCTAGAATCACTTATACATATACAGTGTGTACTTGTAGAAGGTTACTGACGTATTTGAGCCTCCTCCTCCTATTCTCCGTCTTCTCATCTTCCTCTTTGTTTTTGTTTTCTTCTTTATTCTTCCTCTACTCCTCTACTTCGACTCTAAAAGTAAAAAATATGTTTATCTAGATTTACTTTAGAACTTCTCTTTCTAAAGAAGACATAATTTAAAGCCTTAGCATGTACAAATGCCAACAATTATTATTATATCTTGTCAACTCTAGATCGACCGACATCTACTCTCAACTAGAAGTATGAAATGCCAATCAGTAAAAGAGGTTAACATTGAGAAGCAAGACGCAGAAATGGACCTGTTGGACTTAGAGGAAGAAATCTTCATGGATTGTGTCTTTGATGTCCCATCCGAAGAAAGGTCACCTCCTCCTTCATATGCAACGCCCCCTATGTTTGTTCCATCGATTGGCCGAGGTGTGAGAAGAGCTATCAACCCATTGGACATTCCCCTTCCACAGGCCTACTATGACCAGGTTAGTTACTTACATTACTTGTTGTGGTGGTGGGGGGGGGGAGGGGGGGAGGGGGGGGGGGGGGGGGGGGGGGGGGGGGGGGGGGGGGGGGGGGTCAGTGCTTCCACAGATGGACCAATTTGCCACTTCTGGTTACTATGTATTCTTCCTTTTCAGCGTTAAATGATAATGCTGTTTCAGCATTGATGAATTCTTAATAAAAGGATTTTTAGAACAAAGAAAAGACCATCAGTAAAGGAGAGTCAGTACTACTGTGTTTAGTGTTGTCGTACTAGTATGGAAGCTTAAATGTGCAGCAAGAAGATGACTTGTCCAGGTCAGGAAGACTAGGTGTTAAACATGTTAAAAGACACTAAGGCGCCACGTTTTAGAATGCAAGATCGTGACTTATTAAAACTACCAGGGCGCATTGTAAGTCCCAGGAGCCAGTTGCTGAAACTCGCCAAGACACCGTTGGTAAGTCAAGGTGGCAAAACTGTGAGTTTTAACAAGTCGCCTTCTCGTCTTAAACATGACACCTTGGCGAGTTTAACAAGTCGCCTTCTCAATGCACGTTTAAGTTTCTGTATACTAGCCCATGTGTTATGAATGTTAATTCTGTTATGCTTTCTTTTATTTATTTTATCTTCTCTCTTTCTGTTTGTCTCTTTCTATGTTTTTTATGTCTATCTCTCATTATCCCTCTCTCTATATCTCTCTCTGTCTCTCTTGCTGTCTTTCTCTCTTTTTCTATCTCTTACTGACCATCTTTTTCCTCCCTCATCCATACATAGCTAGAGCGAAAGCGGAAAGCCACCCATGATATAGGGAACCCTCTGTCTTCTCGGCCTGTTAACGGTGCCCCTAAGCCTAAAAGAGGAAGTGGAAGAAGTTCTACGCTACCCGAGCGAGTGCCCCGTCCCCATCCCAGAGGCAGAGGCAGAGGGAGAGTGATGGAAGATGCTTTCAAGAAGACCAAACCCAGTGTATTGCAGGTCAAAGAACTTGAACGTATTGGATTACCTAATAATGGTGAGCACCCCCACCTCGATTTAATTTAAAATGCCAACATAAAACCACTAAAAATGGGGAAAATAATCACTGCTTTTAATACTTTTTCTCTGTTCATTAGGCTTATAATAATCAAAGATGATATTTCATGTGGATCAATTTTTTCAACAAAAATAAATGAAAAGGTCCATTGCTCTTCTTGATCCTTCCAAATTTACTTTAGGACTATTGTATTTAAAAAAAAAAAAAATTTAATCACACCAGTAGACATCTCATACACTGCATGAAAGACTTATTTTGTTCTGCTTGGTTTGGTGTAGCAGTTGGTATTTTGAAAGAGAAGGATGACAGCAGATATTCACAGAAATCATATCCAGTGAGGAATATATTTTAGTTTCTGTTAAATCACTGTAAAAAAACTCCCAAAACTATCATCATGGTTTCAAAATTTTGAATGTGTGGAGCTGGGACCAAAGTTGTGCTCACCTTTGAAGAAATTGTGCTAGAATTTTACATTTTGGGCTGATAAAATCTCCTTCCAGTCTCCAGATTCCAGAAGTGAATTTTTGAAGAATGCCCAATCTTCCAAGGATTTATTTGTGTATTTAAAGAGTTGATTCTTACCTTCATAATAGTGATCTTCAACAAATTGATGTAATGACAAATAGAAATGATTAACAGACTTAAGATATCTAGACTGTGGGCACTAAACTTCTGTTGTTGGGAGTTCATTGCTGGATGGAGCTACCACTTTATCCTCATCACTTATTCATGTACTGATTTGAGATCCAGAAGTTGGATTAATGTATTAAAGGTAAAGACCAGTATTGGAAACGCCCCCATTTCAAAAAATGAAATGGAAGCTCTCATTACCAATCATGTGAAAGAATATGTTTTGACTAATACATGATGATAAAAAATTTGCCGGGAAACCGCCTACTAATTCATATATTTGGTATATTTGTTTCTCTCATGGTCTGTGAGAGATATAGGGTAGTCCTATAAACATCTTTCTGTGTATAGTGCTTGTAACTTTACGAAGAGTGGGCCAAATTTCTTATCATTTTGATGATTCCGGAACCTTGCAGATGCTAGATGCTAGATGATCAACCTTTTCTGATCGATTCTACAACGTTTCTTTCACAATACAATCGCATGACTATAACTGGTCTTTACCTTTAATAACGTGAAACCAGTTGTAGCAAAATGAGTTACTTAGTAGTGTCGGATGACATTATATTCTTTCTCAGGAAACGGAGATGTAGAAGAAGGGAAAGCCCGTTTAATGCAGATGTTCTTGGGACGGCAGTCTCAGTTCGAGATCGAGACAAACTTCAATGCGCAGTATGACTCCTCTGGCTCGTCCATCAGGTCCGCACCGACCTTTGACCTCAGGAATGACAAGGACTTCCCTGACATGATCTCCAAGGTGATGAAGGGGATGCCGTTCAAATCGTCCGTCGGAGGCTCGCTAGATGAGAACCTGAGGAGAAGAGCTAGAGGTCTTATAACAAAAGGAAAATGTCAAAGTTCTGGGGATGATGGTGTGTCGTCTAGCGATGGTACTGGTGAAAGGAGAGGTAAGAGATCATCATGCGATGCTGATGTGGATACAAGCTATGAACCTCCAATGTCACAGCACAGAACAAGATCAGCCGATGAAAACAGCTCACAGGTTCGAATACCCCTTCAAAGGGTAATTTTTTCCTTACCAGACAGACTGAAACAATGACATTCCTTATCATTCATTTTTTAACATAATTAATTTATAACTATTGAAAGAAGTTGCTTGTTTGTATAAGATTCATTGGTTCGAACCTGCAGTAAATTGCAAAGCTATTAAATGTAACCTTTTCTTTACGTTGTCATGTCACATCTTTTTAAAGCTTTTTATACTCTTTCATCTCATGTCAAAGCCTTAAAAGATCCCAATGTGTCAGAGTTGAATAAACTACCATCTATTTCCCATTTTTCGATTTAGGCTCTCAAAGGAACAAATGTGTGAGAGTCGATTGGACTCCCCTCGAAAGGCTCTAATCCATTTAGTTATCACTAGAATCTTCCCAGAGTCTTTAAAGGGTTTCAAATGTTCGTATAATAACTCTTTCATTTTGTGTCTAGGTTCTTGAAGGTCCCAATGTGTTAGAACTGACAGGACTACCAACCAATCTAAGCAAGGAGGATCTAGGGGACCTGCTGATGGGGTGCGGTGAGATTGTAGAGATGAGACTACTCCGGGATACAGACCTGGGAGCATGTATAGGACTGGCGTATGTCAGGTAAGACGCTTACTGCATTTTAAAAGTTCTGATAGGCTTTATAGTGGGTGTAAAACAAGTTCATCAGTCATTTAAGCCTTCTACAGAGTTGCAATGGAAAACTGAAGAAGGAAAAGTTTTTGGATGATCATACATTACTCATAACAGGCATGTGCTAGGTATATGTGAAATCATAAAATATGCAACATACTGATTTAAAAATCAAAATAAATACTTTTGCCTGTTTATATTCTCCATCACTCTCTCTCTCTCTCTCTCTCTCTCTCTCTCACTCTCTCGCTCTCTCTCCACATTCTGTCTCACATATCTCATTCCTATTATTTATCGTCTGTCTCTCTCTCTCTTTCTCTCTCTCCCTCACTCTCTCTCTCTCTCTTTCTCTTTCTCCTTTTTGTCTAACTATTTGTCCTGTCTTTCATGTATTTTCTGATTCTCTCTCTATCGCTCTCTCTTTCGCTCTCTTTCGCACTCTCACTCTCTCCCTCTCTCCACATTCCATCCCACATATCTCATTCCCTATTATTTATCGTCTCTCTCTCTCTCCCTCCCTCCCTCCCTCCCTCCCTCCCTCCCTCCCTCCCTCTTTCTCTCTCTCGTCCTATTCCCACCAACAGGATGGAGAATGAAGAAGCCTGTGAGTTGGCAGTCTCATCCTATCATGACATGGAATCCCCTTTTTCTGGTGAGTACGTCACCCAGTCGGCCACGAAGAAGCTAAAAAATGTCAGCAAGATGATTTTTTTTAATATATCACTCAACATATATGAATATATCAGATTTATTGTTGGCATTGTTATCATTCTAATCATGCAGTGAGATTATAGTCTGCTCACTCAGCGCAATGACAGAAGGGCGCCAACTTTCAACCATTTCACCCAAATTTAACACCTTTTTAGTTCTCCACAGGTTATTCTTTGAAAATATACAAATTTTCAAATGTAATTTGAGATTTTGTATGAGTGCGTGTACTTTGGTTACCATTTTTGTCAGATGGATAATGAGACAGAAATGCCCCTTTGATTGAAAATTTGATAAAATCCCGACTTTTATCAAATCAAGTGATGCTGCAACGAGAGGGATATCTCATACATCGTTATATTTTGCATATACAGTGAATTTCTGAGAGAAATGTTCTGTTCTGGTATTCACTCTATCCTTATCTTTCCATTTTGTTCATGATTTTTTTTCTTTTCATGACAGACAGGTACGATGGCGAGGTACCACAGCTTTCGGTTAGAATCCTTCGATCATGATGATGCATGCTGGGATAGGTCACATAAGTTGCTTCAGGATGCAACATACAGATGCATTGACAGATGGGTCAGGACTAAGGTGTACAAGCGGAAAATTTTCCAACGGGATTGGAGACAGTCCCTTGAATTGTCAGTGAACGGAGCAGCTGGAGGGCACCAGGCCCCACTGGGCAGAGCTCAGGATTGTAATGGGTGATACAAATGTTGCAAAATTGTTTTTGAGTTTCTGATAGTGTAACTCTATTATCAAATAAACATTTACTTTACTTGTGCATGTATTAAAGAGAACTTTTGCTGAGCTAGCACCATGAGCATCCCTGAACAGTGTGTGCGCTCTATAAGTTTACACTATTATTAGCAGTAGTAGTAGTAGTAGATGAAATATTTCTTTGGCCTGTACCAAACATATTGGTTTGGTTCGATTATTGTTTTACCTGACTGCTAAGAAAGCATGTATTTATGCTTTTAAGTAAGCAACCAGGGGACTGAGGGCCCTACGTCCTCTCCAAGGGACTTGGTAATGAGGATTAATGCCTTACCAAAGGGCACAAGCGCTTTGACTTGGTTTCGAACCCGGGACCTCTAGGTTAGGAGACCACTGCTCTACCACTGAGCTATCACCCCTCCTCTTTTATATGACATACATGTTACATGCTTTATATTTGAAAGGTAATATGCAGTTCATATCAGTTCATATTACGATATTTGCAAGAGGTCTTGATTGCCGATTACCCCACTGTGCATCAGAAACGATGTATTAGGTTTGGGGTAAGGTCAAAGTTAGGATTAGGAATATGGTTAGAGTTATTTTTGTGGTAGGGCATTCTGCAAAGTGCTAAGAGATTGCTTCAAAGACGCCATCTTGAATACAGTGGAAAGTTGTTGAAAAGGGCTCTGACATAACAAGATACCTGATACAACAAGGAAATGTTGATGGCCATTCTCATTATATTTGATTTGATTTGATGAGCTTCTAGCTCAAAGCTGGTCATGTAGATTCTAATACAGAAGCTCACCTAAACACTTCTACAATATCTTGAACAATGAATAATGTGGTGTATTTGACTTTAGCAAGAACAAATCATGTCTTGTGAAAGTATGTAGAGCAATATTTTGGGGGCAAGATGAAGAATATATTATGATGATCCACTAGGCTGGTAAAATGTTGTCATTTTGACTAATGTTGGTGTGCTGCAAAACCAAGAGAGATGTTGGGAGGAGTGATTTGAGCCAGGGAAATACCTGTTATATAGAATGTTCTTTAACTGGAGGGTGAAGGTCTGAAGGATCATTTTGAAATGATCAAAAACTTTATGAATTAGAAAAAAAGAATATGTTATTAGGGTTTTTGTACTAGAATTATCAAACCTCATGCTATATTGAAGTACTTTGGATCAAATGAACCATCCAGGGTTGATGATGAACATAAATGCTGACTGATTTTGCTGTTATTGAAAAGTCTGTGGTTTATATTGATTAATTGATCAATTTGATCTAAATTATCAATTAAATCATATTTGACACAAAGGCTGAAATCTTAAAATGAAATTCTGTGCATATACTAGACTTATCGTTCAAATCATTATTTCTAGTTAAATTTAAAAGTTGTTGTAAAAGTACATGTATCAAGGTAGCAAATTTTATCTGAAAACTGCCAATTTTCAAGTATAGCAACCAAGTGCAATTTTCTGTCAAAATGCAAAGTAATTGCCGTAGCCTCCTGCAAATTACTCACATAATTTTAAGCAGTGAAATGATCAAGTGTAGCAATTGTTAAGGGGCAAACTTTCTAGAAAACCATTGTGAACTTGCTTGATGAACTATTCAAGAGGTTGTAAGGTAAAATGAGCTGTTAAAGGTAAAGACCAGTTTTGGAACCCCCCCCCCCCCCCCCCCCTCTCAAAAAAATGAAATGGAAGCTCTTACTACCAATCATGTGAAAGAATATGTTTTAACTAATACGTGATGATACAAATTTTGCTGGGAAACCGCCTAATAATTTATGTATTTGGTAAATTATTATATCTATCCGGACTGGATAGATATAGATCTGTGTACAGTGCTTGTAACTTTACCAAGACTGGGCCAAATTTCTTCTCATTGTGATGATTCCAGAACCCAGAACCTTGCAGTACACACCAATACTTCTTTGTTAGATGATCAACCTTTTCTGATCTATTCCACAACCTTTCTTTCACAACGCAATCGCATGGCCAGAACTGGTCTATACCTTTAAAAATTCATGAAGGATGGAAAACTCCTTTAAAGGGAACGTACCCTTATAGGTATAATGTGCAATTATCCCAGCTTGCCATCAATTGGCAAGACAACTATGATGAAGTTGATACTTTAAATTTTCTGACAAATTTAATGAAATGAAATGCCAATTTCTCCATCAAATCAAGATAATTTTCCTCTTAAATTTCTGGATCTTGCATCTTGAGCTTATGTCAAATCCTGCCATTCACCAGAGCCATCTATATACAGAGTTTGGTCATCTTGGCGTCAATAGGTCACAACATGGCTTCTATTCTTTGCTTTTGTTCTTGCTCAACAGAGAATTAGAAACTGGTTGGTCAAACTCATTCTGATATAGCACCATCTGTTGTCGTGTACAACATGTAATTGGAATTTTGACTTGAAGGTACAGAATATTTTAACAAACTATGTTACTAGTTGCTAATTTGAAAAGTACATTGTAAAAACAAAACTTATTAAAAATCCTCAGAAACATTTTCCCCTTCTTTTAAACCTTTCAGGGAACTTAACTTCACATATCTACGATGTTCACAATAACATTAAAAAAAAAAATCATACATGTATATATATATATATATAATACATGTAAATTTAAAACATTATCTTAGCATATCAGTTAAAGCTTTTACCTGTTTTTCATTAACATTTGCTTTTGTTTTAGAATAGAAATGAGACATCAATTTATATTCAAATCAGTTAAAAAAGTTCTACCATTCAATTTGTTTTTTGTTTTCAACTAGTAATAATAAACATATTCAGCATAATTAATCAAAATGTTTGCCAAGTAATTATCTAACTTGCCTATTTCATATCCAATCACTAAAGTCTTCTCATTTATGTTGATATCTAATCCAAACAAATGATATATCAAACATGTTGCAATTTTCAACTCATATGTGATGTTTCAATGGTATTACAATCTTCACATACATAATCTTGTTTAATTTTCCATTTATATACGTTATATTTTGACTGTAAAAACATAAAAGGAACAGTTTAAAATTAAATCGTTTTATTATGTTATTTCGTATAGCATTGAACTTAAACTTTCAATCGGAGGACAGTACTAATCGTTGCTGCCAAGCATGATCGGAAATATATCATGTTCCATGTCAAGGGCATAGCATCTTTAGAACATTTTAGAATGAGGGGTTCTCAAACCCAAGTTTGCTGAAAAACTTACATGAACAATCATCTACTCAATGCTGAAAACAGCAAATACTTTCTGACCCAGGCGCGTACGCAGGATTTTTTCAAGGGGGGGGGGGGGGGTTTAACATTTATAAATTATAAATCGGGCCGAAAATTTTGCAACGACTCAGCCAGCCGCTAAATAAGCGGGGGGGGGGGGGGGGGGGGGGGGGGGCATTTCTTTTTTTTTTTTTGGTCTCGAAATTTGAAAATTTGACATTTTGCTCGGTGGGGGGGGGGGGGGTAAGGTAAGCTTTTTTAGGTCAGCCATGGGATTTTTTTATTTTTTAAATTTTTTTTTTGTAATAAAAAAAAAAATTAAAAATCCAAAGGGGGGGAGGGGGGGGTTTACACACACAAAAATACCAAAGGGGGGGGGTTTTAACCCCCAAACCCCCTTCTTCCCCCCCCCCCCCCCCCCTGTGTACGCGCCTGTTCTGACCTATTTATCTTTCTGCAACGGTTCTGAAACTTTGGCAATATGAGGTTAAGCAGATGTCGTTACAATGATTAATGTAATGACAGATGTAAACAATTGAGAGAATTGGAATTTATGAGATTGTAAAATTTGTCTTGTCCAGTAAATCTTGTGAATTCAATATCACCCTTGATATGTTATTGTTAATGACTTACAATTGAATACATTTCAAGAACGATTGCTTTCACATTATGATTGATGATACATGAGTATCAAATAAAATTGCAACTCAAAATTTGTTAATGAAAAATAAAATGGATTTGTATTCTAAACCGATGCCATGATTTAATTTGTCATTTATCTTTGTCCACCAATATGTTACCCCACTCCAATTTTTTGCTTTATTCCCCCCCCCCCCGGTCCACCTTCTCTCTCTCTCTCTCTCTCTCTCTCTCTCTCTCTCTCTCTCTCTCTCTCTCTCTCTCTCTATGTCTCGGCCTCTCCCCCTTTCTCTTGCTCTCCCATCTTATTTTCTTTATCGGTCTCTCACTTTCTCCCCCCGTCCCCCTTTTTCTCTCTGTCTCTCTACATCTGTCTGCCGCCCCCTCTCGTCTTCTCGTATGGTTTCTGTCACTCTCTTTACTGCTTTATCTCCTTTCCACTTGTTTAGACCAATCATTCACCTCGCCTTCTGCATGTTAAATTATCTCTCGTGCTCTTCCTCCGTAAACGATAAGATCTTCGTGCGTTAGATTCGCACGTGTTTGAAAGCATGACATAAATCGGACGTGCTGTAATCGGTGTAACTTTGTTTTGGGTCAAACGCGTCTTTCAGTTCGAATTTCCTGGGGATAGTCTAGCGCAATCAGAAAATAAAAGATTAAAAAGATGACGACAAATTAGACATAAGGTTACTTATTGTGTGAGCCATGCAGGCGTTTGGAACGGATACAGGACCCTGAATTGATTCAGTCATCGTAATCATTATTTGTAATAACTATTACCGTGCCCTGTTACCGTGTCACCGCAACGTTTCCAACATGTCTTTAAATAACTAACGGGGTATTCTATGCATACTTTTTACAAGATTATGTTGTTTTATCCACTCGGCGAAATATGAGAAAATACAAGGAAAGAGAAGATAAATGTAGGCCTTCCATGGAAAAGACGAGAGAGAGAGAGAGAGAGAGAGAGAGAGAGAGAGAGAGAGAGAAGAGAGAGAAAAGATAGAGGGGAAAGAGGGAGAGAGAGAGCGAGAGTGAATATGAGATATACAAGTAATAAGAGATTAAGAGTAATAATACATGTTTGAGAGGGATTCGACTAGATAGGGAAAAATAAAATACACGAAAAAGATCCATTCGCCATTTAGAACACATAAAATTAATTGTATCATTTATCTTTTCCCCCACAAGTATAACGGGCCTGGCCTGCGCATTCCATAGAAATCCATTTATTTCATGGATGTTACAGATCTGGGGCTGGAAATAAACCACGGAAATGCAGATTTCTTGTACCCACCCCTCTTCCCTTTCTCCGATCCTCTCTCATCCCTTTCTTTCTGGACTTGCTCTCTTCAGTTTCCTCATTACATGTCTCTTTTCATCCCTCTAAAATGTACTATTCCGCTTCCTTTCTCACAAACGAATCACATTTGTCACAAACATTTCCGTTCTCGATCATGAGCTCACACTCGTTATTAAAATGTGTGGCGTAAGGATACTACATATTCCGATGAGAAAAAGCAATTGACTAGCTGTACCCGCAATTAGGCTTAGTATGCATATTAGGCCTATACTTTTGTGTGACTGAACGATAACAATAAACAGACCAAATAAATACGATTAGAAAAATAGTTTGACATTCCAAATGACTATTTTTATTTACAACATTTCTTGAAATATTATATAAAGTTATATACACATGAACGATAAAACCACTCTCACACACACATACATGTACAAACATAAAAATTATTATATATAACTCACGACACATTCAAAATGGTTTCACGAGTACGAATTCAGCTCAATAATTAAAAACATCACAATGCATTATTATCATGAAGAGTACTTAAACCAACTCAGCTTCCTATTCAATGCAGCTCTTTTATGCGTTGTCATTAGAGTACCAATAAAACAACCGTTGAAAAGTTGCTCTTTGTATCGGCCATATTCTACAAAAATATTTAAATTCTTTTTTTTTTTAGGGTCAATGAGAAAGTTTTAGTCGGCAAATAGTGCTGACATTGGTGGTGACCACAAGATGGAAAAAGCGAATTAATGACTGGTTTAGTTCATTAAACAAGCATTAACCCCCCCAAAATAGACATTCCAATTGCATTGCATCCGAATTTCGTATGCGCACTATACCATGTGATCTATTATCTTGAAATCAAAATGAAAGTTACGCCCTTTCCTCATTTTAATTGCAGACCAACGTCATGTGACACGAACTAAATCGGTAAAACAATGAAGAAAAAACCCCGACACAATGTGAAAATGACTCAAAGTTAAATGGCTTCCTTTACCGGGTGCAATCTTAACTGCAATATCGATTATTGGTTCCGAGTGCAAAACCAACTTCCCGTTTTGGTGACTTATTCAACTTATGCCTGGTGAAACACGTATACTCTCAATAACAGATTTTACTCTCAACTTGCATCGAGATCTATAGGTTTATAATTTATAAGAAAATTTATTTTTCTTTAATATAGATGGGTACTGATACATTGGTATCCCTTAATAAGGGCAGTGCATTCAATACCTAATACCAAAAACAGACCTGTAATTTCGGGGGGGGGGGGGGTGGAGAAATAAAAAATCTCTTTAGGTTTGCGAGTTAGTTTTGTACTTTTGTACATGTATCTTTTTTTTGGGGGGGGGGGGGGTGTGGGAATGTATCTAGTTCGTGTAAAATGCGTTTATTAAGCATCACGGGATAATTTGCTCGACGTTTCACCCGCAGTCATGAGAGGTCATGATGAACTCGTTCTCTTCTAAACCAATCATTTTGGTCACGTTATAGAGGTATATCCTGTGTCGAAACCTTTGACGTCGTAAACCACATATTTCTAAATGAACTATCTAAACGAATGCTCCTTTTTTGAAAATGATCTTCACTATGAACGAGGTAAACTAAGGTAGATAATAAAAGGTAGATAATAAATATAATTTATTACAAGAAACTAAAATTCACTCTTCATCCATGAATCCTTCACTAATTTCATGAATATCATATGATTATTATTGTTGGAAAAAATGAATAAATATCTGATTCAATTGATAAATAATTGTTGCGCTGTTTACTTTACATAAAATAAATAATTATACATAATAATAATGTCAATGATCAAGTAGGGTCATATTATTGATAACGAAAGATATGGGGACAAACTTCCTTCATAATTTATCATCGTAATTATTATCATAACTTGGTCTGGCGAGAAAAATACCACCAACATCTTGGGAATTCCATCACTGCTGCCTCATTGTTAAGCCGTTGCACAAAAGGTATCAAATTGACTGACGTAGGAGTGCGCCAACGACTGGCTCACGCGGTGTCATTTTTGCCTGGCGTAGGATTACGTCAGTGACTGCGTCAGCAGCATGTGAAGTGCACAGCAAGAGGCATAATCACACCCCTAACAACAACAACAACCTCCACAGGCATGATTAGCGCAGAAGGCATTACAATATGTAATTATTACAATAATAATACTGAGTGGTATAACAAGTCTTTGTACAGCATGGTAAAAGTGCACACACAGCTTCATGTTTTACTAGAAAACAGTACAATCATTGCATCACTGCAATTTTGCGACTTCTAAAAGTTCAAACTGCACACATTAGTACATGTACACCTTGTAAAGTGCAGGGGCGCAGTGAGTGTTCTGCAGACTTGGCGCCCTTCGGAGGAACGCAGCTTTTCGACAACTTGCAGGCGTTCTCACAAATTGCTTTACTCAAGTAGTTCGATCGTGGATCCTAGAGTTCTACACTTTATGATTTTTATGTCTGGGTGTCTTCCTCTGTTTCGAGATGATGTCGATCTGGAGAGGGAGCTCCAGCATGATGGGCATGTCGAACTCGTCGGCGGCTCCGAGCACCTCCTCGTCCAGGGTGTCGATGTAGGCTTGTTTACAGCAGCGCTGGAATTCCTCAGACAACCTCGGCACGGCTCCTGAGACGCATTTACTGTGCTGACGAAGTTCAATGTAGCGTTGTCTGTCTTCTCTGGTGACCTTGAAGTTTCCCAGTCTGTTCGGGTCGTGCCTATCAGCAAAGAATAGGGGAGAAAAAAAGAGAGAAGAAAATAATTGTTGGTTATCTCTCTCTCCTTCTTAAAATTAGTTAGGGTTACCACTTACCAGTTGGTTCATCCAATTAGCCTAAAAAGAGACATCATTCAGATACGTTGGAGTCCCACATGTGCTGGACAATATTAACCCGGAAAGGGGATTGACAGGACATGAATCAGGCTGTGGCCTAAAAACAACCTGGCATCTCTGATGATGATGATGATGATGATGATGATGATAAATAATGATGATTTTGAACGTGTTTTCGTGGCCTTTTTGTTCTTATAGTTTCAAAAGTTCTTGTTCAACATCACGTGTTTTCAGCGTGATCTACCACTGAAATTTGACAATCGATGTCGTGACTTTTAGTCTAAACAACCGTCACTGATAACTCGACTAGTGTGGTTTTCACACTTCATTATTCGGTGAAGTATGTGTTTACGTTTAGTCTCAGACAAGGCAATGATCACTGCTGATGGAAGACTTTCATTCTTGAAAACAACTCCAACAATTCCGACTGTCTCCCCATTGTTGGTACGTGCTCTCCTAACCATTACAGTCTTCCTTTTCTTTTCTCCGCCATTGAATTTCCCTAACGAAAAGTTATTCGGATGTGGTTCGTAAAAGAGAACAATCGGATCTCTGACTCCACCTCCCGCCCCTAGACAAGTTATCATGTAACATGATTGAATGAGAATGCAACTCGAGTGTCATCCAATTTTGAGGGTTTAATCAAATTTGTAAAAGAAGCCCCTGGAATTGTATTTCTTCCTATTACGACAGAGGGGATAATAACAGAGATTGGGATATAGACAGGGATAGAGAACAAACTTAGAGATTGATACAAATAGTGGGATAGAGTGGGGATAGAGTGGGGATAGAGAAGGAAATAGAAAGAAAAAGAGAGAAAAGGATCACGATCTGTAGAGGAAGATAAAGAGAGATAACGATCAAAAGAGAAAGGGACATGGAAAGAGGGAAATATTAATAGAGAATGAAGGAGAGTGAGAGAAGAAGTAGAAGAGCAAAAGGGAGGAAGAGAGGGAGTAAGAAAGAGGGAGTAAGAAGGATAGATAAAGAACGAGAGACCGTACCTCATGATAACCTGTGGCCTGTAGTTCTCAGGATTGCAGAGGAACCCACTTCGTCCAGCCGTGGCGCCCAAGACGCAACACTGACTCTGCGTCTCACGATGGCGCGTCGACGTCGTCAACTTCTGCATCATTGACGTGGACTGAAGATCGGTGGTGGCGAAGATTCCTGTACTTGTCTCCAGTCCTTCGTCGGTTGTGCGCCCACTGCCGACATCTCCTACTGGTACCTCCTGAAAGACGTTCCTCTGGTGTTGTCGCTCCTCCTCCTCCTCTGCCTGTTGTCGCAGTCTTTCCCTCATTAAGAACTCTGCAGGGAGGCACAGAACAAAATAGATTGATTGAATTGAGTAATGCCAATATTATAACTAATGTTCGATGTTTAAAGCCCCTATAAAGTGATGGGAGACCCCAAACCTGATGGCAAAATTTCACTTATATTGTATCATAATTTGAAAGAGGATGTTATTTAAGACACATTGCTACAAGGATTTTCAAAACAAATGTGTTTGAAGTGGAATACTAATGACAGAATACAAAATTTAGGTTTTCTGCGTACTTTAAAATTACTTGTAAAGTAATCTTTCCGAAAAAAATAAAAAGGGAGTGGTCATCTCAGGGGCAATTCCCTGGTCCTCTGTCTGTGGAGACCATGTTCTTGGTAGGCTTAAAAAATATAAGCTCACGAATGTGCTTACCGCATCAAAACATTTTTTACGAGTTTAACGATGTGAGAGGGGGTTTTCCCTAAAAGGTAGAACCTGGCTCGAAGGATTTACTCGGTAAAGGCCGTACATGTACTTTAAATAATAGCAAACGATGCACCTTCATTTTAGTTCTACAGAAATTTATTTATGTGAAACATTTATTTGAAACGATGGGAACATTCTGGGACCTCTCTTCGACCATGAAAGCACCTGTGCAAGGCAACGGGATGCTGCTCCGATCCGGGACAGAGCTGGACAGGTGTACAAACTAAGAACATTTATTTTCTTCTCTTAAACGAACCCACAAATTTATAATTGTTGTATCTTTATAAAGAAGGAATATTTCTCTGCCAAGAGTGGAAGTCGTCACTACTTCATCAGATCAAACTCGACGTGTCGTTACGTAACTAATTTCCTACCAGTTTCCGATCTTAACTCATGGCGCCAGGGAGAAGGGGGGTGGTGACGAAAAGGGGATTCACTTTTCAGTAATTCGTCAAGCTACTTTTCTTTCCATCACATTTTATCTGTTTTGAATGACGCAGACTCAAACATTTGAGGGAAATCGGAACATGCTTTCAAAACAAATATTCTTTTCTTTTGAATTCGACCTGGATGTTGACATGTCATACAAAGGGAAAATCAGAACACGCTATTCAAAACCAATGTTTGATGAGCAGTCATACTTTTTTTTCCTATTTTCAATATTTCTAATCTCGCTGATTATGCTCCGACCCAGTGAGACATTGTAATCGGGTAGTGATAAACTGAAGCTGACAGTGACGTAAAGAGCCGATATATGAGAGGATGTTTCTGAAAGGTATGGTTGAACCAATCTTTAGAATGGAAATAGTGCTGATTTTTAAAAACACGTCTTGTATAACAGGTCGATATAAGGAAAGACATAATGCATGAGAAACGATTACATCATATTATGTTCCTAACATGTTGATGTGGCATACTTTTTTTTTTATCTGCTTAGAGTATATTTTGGAATGAATGTTGTCCATCTCATGATAATGTTGCGACTCCCACTAAGGCAATACACCACGTGGGGTCCGGAACTGAATCGTTTATCGTGCTGAGAAAGTAATAAGCGAAGATAATTGTGTCAGTCGATTTTAGTCATAATCTGCAACTCCAGATCTAGAAGATCAAGACATTAAACAAATGTCTACAGTATAACTAGAAAATGCAGTCCGAGTCTAGACAATAAGAGGGCTACTGGTGTGACGGAAAGGGGCTAAGTGCTAGGACCAACGGTTTTACTCGATTGGTGAAGACAACAAATACTGAAACAGGTCATCGGGTGAGTGGTCGTGTGGGAGGGGTTTCTAATGCTCTTACCCTCCCTAGTCCCATCTTTTATACTATATCTCCTCCTTGATTTTGCCATACAAATGGGGGTCCCCGAGCTGCCCCATAGCTACGCCACTGTCTGCGCCACCGTCTGCAAAAATGTTATCTCTTGAGAAGTGAAACTGAGTGGGCTCCGAGGTCTAATAATGAGGGTTGCGATTGAATAAAATAGATCGCAAGTCCTTCAATTACTTGCAAAATCACGGCAGCCACAAGCCTCTATCATAAGAAAGATAGAGTTACGAGTGGTATCAAATAATTTTTACCCAAGAAAATATTCTGTGAATTGAATTGAGATATTTTGAATGAAATAAGAAATATACACCAAACTAAAAACAAGGGAAACGCTCTCGGCGGTCTCGCCTGCATAACGCACTTCAATATGATAAACCAGAACGTCAATGACGTAGTGCTCATCCGCATCTCGCAACAACAAATATCGTAAATTTTATGTGGTACACTTTTGAACTGGACAAAAAATAAAAATTTGATGCCCTGGAAGGAACATAATTTCATTTCATTTGCATAAAGTACCATAAATAATCAATGGAGCAAAATCTCACAATTCTGTGTAGAAGTTTAGTGTTCCAAATTTAGCTCTACCAGATAAGGCAAACCAAATCAAAATCGGTCAAGAAATGAGGGAAAAGAAGCAATTTTTGTTATTTTTGGAATAAATTTGCATAAATTACCATAATTAATTAATGGACAATCAGAATCAAAATCGGTTGAAAAATAACGAAGAAGAAGCATTTTGAAAATCTTGATGTTGATGCCACAACAAAGTCCAAGTTTGTTGACCTTAAATGACCTTTGACCTTAACTTAGTGACCTGAAATTCTACTCACATGATTGGGAGACTTGATAACCCTATAGTCCAAGTTTCATTGACTAAGAACTTATACTTTCAAAATTATATCAACAATTCAAAAACTTAACCTTAGGTTAAGTTTTCGATGATGATGCTACAACATAGTCCAAGTCTGTTGGCCTGAAATGACCTTTGACCTTAACTTTGTGATCTGAAATTCTACTCACATGATTGGGGATACTTGATTACCCTATAGTCAAAGTTTCATTGACTAAGAACTTATACTTTAAAAATGATATCAAAAATTCAAAAACTTAACCTTAGGTTAAGTTTTTGATGTTGACGCCGTCGCCGTCGCCGCCGTCGCCGTCACCGCCGTCGCCTATGTCTCGCTTTTTGCTACGCAGGCGAGACAAAAATCAAAGAAAGGTATCTGATATCAGAAAATTATGAACTGTGTCAAGCAATGAACCCGATAATTGCATTTTTCCGAAATCATCAACTTGAGAATGACAGCATCCTCAGAGGGTGCTTTCTACAATCTTCAAAAGTTCCCAGAATCTTTTTTTTTTGAAAATTGAGATGAAAATTGAGAAGTAAATAAACCTCCACCCTAAAGATCACCGGTGTTGAATTGGCTTTCCATTTAGCTGTCACGAAACTCTTTGAAAAGTAAGGGATCCCTTTGACCTCTGGAAAGTGGAAATATTCACATATTTTTGCTGATTCGATTGATCCCATTTTTGCGACCCAGCTGCGAGCACATCACTTCATCAGATATCAACATTGATGTCATTCTTTCGGTGGGAAGATATTCGACGAGTCTTTCGACCCAGTGAACTCAATCATGGAACAAGCCTGGTACTCCCCACTACTCCCCGGTCACATCAGCGAGATCGACGCCCGAACGATAACAGACCGAACAGAGTATTACGTTATCCCAGGTTTAGAGTCGCTTTGGTGGTTTGACTGCGGTATAACATCAAAATCGTCTAGAAGTAGTAGTTACGTTATAGGTAGTGATTGGTTGGAGGAACGTAATTCGGATCAATCGCAAGTCTGCCAGATTTGCTTGGCAGGCTATCTATAACCACTCATGTAACGTAACGTCGTGTTAGTTGTAAGAGAATAGTGTGCAAAATAGGCCTTTATCTAATTTGTTTTATTTTTTAAATTCAGATCAATCCTTCAAACTGGGATGCTCATGGTAAACTGATAACAGTTTTGGCACCTCTTAGTCTGTGCTTTGTATTCCACGAATCAAACTTTTTGTTTTGTTTGTTAGTTTTTAAGGACATCACTTACAGTTATATTCCAAAGTGTGCTCAACTTTTGACCGGGCTCGCAAGAAGGATGGACAGATAGGAAACGGATTTCTGCTGTCCGGATCTAAGTGAGTCCTGTGAAAATATATGGCTCTATGATCTGAGAAAGAGGTACCATTCTGATTTAATGAGAGCCTGGACTGATGTCCCTTCTCAGGAATCGACAAAATAAACTAGATAAGAGTCCGAACTTCCTTAGGAATGTATCAAACGATTCTGGACTTATCAATTATTGTGTGTCGGTAAAATTATGTTCTGACACCATTATGGAAAATAGTAAGAGCAGGAAGTTCGTAGGTGGTTTCGGTTCAATTTGAAATGCATATTTGTTTAATTTCATACAATTTGGAGTTGTTTTGTATTGGTTCTTTTTATAATAGTACTATTTTAATGTGCTTTTTCATGATAATCATATTGTGTCAGAATTCGATTTCAATGCACTATTTGAATTTGACTTTGTGAATACCCAGTATAGTTTGTGATTACCCCCCTCCCCCCCCCCCCCCCACTCTCTCTCTCTCTCTCTCTCTCTCTCTCTCTCACTATTCCTCATATCGCCATGACAAGATTACCTACATTAACTTTGTTTATCCATCAGTATAACTGTTTCGATGAGCGCTTGTCTGATAAACACACCTTCCTTTTTCAGCTTCCTTCCTTCCCATTCAGGCTATGCTGGCTATCGAGTACTTTCACAGGTCACTCAGGAAAGTTGGAAAAATTCTCAATTGGTCAATTCACAATACTAAAGGCGTCTATACAGCCCACGATATCGACAATGTCGATCTCGTGAGCTGTCGGTCTACTGGAATAACCCCAAGTTATCGCACTCGTGATCCATTTCCGAGGCATAGGCGGATTTTGGGGATACAACAGGCATGTGCTCCCTTTAAATCTAAAAACAAATTCCCTATAGTTGTGTAAATTTACGGAAACGTGTACACCCCTTTAAACCAAAATAGAAACAAAAAATTGTCCCCTAATTGTACGAATTTTCAGAATTGAGCTCCCTCTTACGCTTGCTCTCTCTCTCTCTCTCTCTCTCTCTTACGTAATTGCTGCATCGACCTCCGATTTACTTTGGGGGCCCTTAACAGATTTGGGGGCCTTTAACAAGTTTGACAGCCCTTAACAACTTAGGCACCCCTAGTAACTTTGGGGCTCTTAACAACTTTGGGAGCCCTACATAACTTTGGGAGCCATTTATCAAAATAACTAATTACCACATCTGTGATAAGTGGGAATCAGAAACACTCAGGTCGGTGTCCTGATGTTGTTTTTCTCAGCAAATTGTTTATCTGTTCGGTAATAAAATGGTAACTATTGTACCAGGGAGTCGGGGGCTCTCCCTAATTATACCACGCGGAAATTGAATTTAAATTCATGCATGTTTAAATCATCAACAACAACAAATCAAACTATTTTTGAGGGGACGTTTCTCAATGATCGGGGGATCGAGCTCAACTAAAGTTCACCAAGTTGACCCCTCCTCTTACAAATTTGACCTTGAATGAGAAATCAAGCTGGGAATCCCAGGTATACGGCTATGGGATTCATATCATGTTCGCCGATATGAAATTCCAGATGCTCCTGATATGAGTATAACTTCAATAGATCTCGTAAGAATACTTTAGAAATATGCAGTATGCTTGCGGTTACACCATGTGAGAGGAGTTTGGGGGAGTCCTGAAAAGGACTATTGGTGATCTTTCTCGTGCAATCCTATTTCTACGAACCTACCCACTACCGAGGTACTCCAAACAACCTGTCACATCATATTAAACCTTGTATTAATATCATAGTTTAAGCAGGTAAGTAATATAATAATGTATAAGCTTGATGGGAGCAGCTACGCTCAGACCCCATGTCGTGCTGTAGGTTAATGACATGGTCTGCCGAAATTACATACAGAGTATCACTAAACCAGTGGGATGTCTCACTTTATATGTATTTTGTTCACTAAGGCTGTGGGAGGGGGGGGGGGGGTTGGCGACAGCAAGCTTATCGCTTTAGTTTGTTCTCATTTCTTTCTTTCTCCCAACAGCTTCCTCCCAAAGTCACGTAATAACACTTTGATTTGTTTCTGCTTTCAAAGAAGAATGAGGTGGTGGAGAGGGTGGCGGTGGTGGTGGTGGTGGTGGTGGTGGTTGTGGTGGTAGTGATGGTGGTGGTGGTGTATTAAAAACTTTTCGACGGTACCTAGTTATTAAGATGAATATTCCAGACTCGACTTGTCTAACAGATAAACATGTTTACAGCGCCTCTTAATTTTCTCTTTAAACCAGCATACGCGGAAAACTTCATGTGGAATGTCCATTGAAGGAAGTTTTGTGAACTCCACTTTTCCATGACTGATGCCTTCTATCATATTCACATGCATGTTTATCGTTATAACAGACAGAACCTAACAATGGATTTTAAGGTGAACTTTAAGTTGTTTACTCCGAGAGCATCTGCGCTGATGTATGGCTCTCGTCAACTTGTAGATTGACCTTGCTCAGCGGGGTTAAATAGGGGGAATACACTTGATGATTGACCCCTCTCCCAATTCCCAGGGACCCCCTTCTCTCTTTCTCTCTCTCTCTCCCCCTTCTCTCTCTCTCTCTCTCTCTCTCTCTCTCCATCCCCTCACTCTCTGTCCTCCTATTTTAGTACGTTTAAAATACAACCCTCCTTCGTAATTCCCATATCTAACTATAATCCTTTGCTATGTCACTTTTCATGTTCTCTTGCTTCTCGTGAAGTTCATTAAACAAGGTCAAAATCCTTGGCAAAAGATGGAAAACAACAACAATGTGTGACGAAGGGTTTTATAAGCACTTACATTCTTTCACGAAGCTCAGCAACCATCAATCATGTTAAGGATTAGGGGTCGAGAATTGACCGAGCTCAAAATCACACAACAATCTTGTCCTACCCTGCACCGGAATTGTTTTTGAGTAAGTCGTTATAAAAGTAAATGTTACGTAAAAAAAACACCAATCAAAACAGAAAATACATGAAATTGTTGTTAATTCTCGCGACTTGTAAATCGAAATCATGAAACCTGCAACCATTGTAACAATATTATAGTAGTATATTGTATACAAGTCGGATAGAATGATACCTTAATTCGGTTTCATGTTCATGTTCATATGACACCATGCAATAATTCCAATAATTCCACGAAATTTCCCCCAAAATAGCATTTTAGTATTTTGGGTCATTTTCCGTTTTAATTTCTCCCACTACACTGGTTCATTGAAAATGACACTTCAACATAGTGTAAATAAAAGATTTTAACATACCTTCAAGTGGATCTGTGAATTTCACTGCTGAGACGATACTTGAATACGAGACGAAAACCAAGAGCAGTTGTAATATTGTCGACTTCATGATGATTGTAATGATGATATAACTTCAACCTTTAGAAGTAGAGTTCTGAATCAAAGTGTCAATGCCAGGCGATGCGATTGTGAGCCACGTGTATACCGGCGTCCGTCCCCTATATATATGTACCTGAAAGCATTCAGTCGTAAAAAAAATAAGCCCTTCCAACCGGCAGAAAGCTCACAATTTCTTGCTAGTTAGCTGCAAAGACAGATCACTGAATAAAAATATGTATCTGCAAGAGCTCATGAAAACGTTCGATGTTATCGTGGGTAGGTGTATTGATGAGTTTGTTTGGAACTCGAGCTCTGAATGTTCTTAGGGTGATGTTCGCTAGGGTGATCGAAGTTACTACTAAACCCAACGTGGAATCACACGGCAGGTTATCAAATAAAAACACAACAAGCTCCGCCCACGTTGTTGTCATTACTGGCTAACAGGTGGACAGTGCCACTTGCTCATTGGACGAGAGAGAAAAGTGGTACGACATTTTGACGAATGACAATCGCGAATGACTCAGCATTGCGCACGCCCCTTGACACACCCCTTTCGAGTTGAATTACGGCTGTGTTGTTGTTTTGCGGTTGAGTGATTCACGATGTAAACATAAACTGTAAAGTGGATTTTTATTTCGTCCATTTGACCTCTCTGTCTTTTATAGATGTCAGGGTTAACCGACGACATTTACGAGAGAAGGAATGCTGATATGAAAATGTTAGAAACAAACGGTTTTCATCTTTTTCAGAATGACATGATTGGTCCAGAAGAAATGGCACCATAATCGTCATATGAAAACGTCTCTATAATATGACAAGTTCCTAAGTTTTTCTATATCGACAAGAACAATAGAACAGGAACTAGGAACTAGGACTGTCTAAGTGCAATTATAAAGTAGCAACTATTTCATGTTTTATCACCGTCATACATGTCTTTCTTCTAATTTCAACATGTTCACGCACGTGCTTGAAGATGAAGACTTTCGACCATCAATCATTAGAATTTCTAAGCACTCTGCCAAAGCTGATAATCATACCGCTCTCGAACATATATCACTTATCACCTTTTTAACTTTGGAAAGACATAAAACTATATCTACGTCGACATCACGTTCCTCAACAATTCATTGCAGCGAGATTTTCAATATCTCTCTGCTACATTTTCTTGGTATTTCATCTTTCTTAAACAGAAGGTTACTAACGACTCCTTATGAAATTGATTTTATTAAATTGTTTACAATCTTAAAAAGGCCTTCTGGTAAGTATCAAGAATGAAGAAAATAATGATGAAATACTCGTGATAAGAGTGTTGAAAGAGAAATTATTTATCGCTCGTCTTCTTATTCTTCGAAACGTGTTTGGCATTCAGGTGCAAATACGACAATCAAAATATTGGTAGGAGCCTAATTATCAACAAAGTTCTTTCAGAAGCCCTATATCCTCTCATGCTTTCATCGAGGATTTATGACTGATTTTTAAAACAATTTTGCTTCAAAGATTAGCCTCGGTAAAAAATTAACCATGAACCCTCATGCTTTAGAACGAAGGTGAAAAGTTGACAAGCCTTGGAGGTGTGTCTTGTCATTAGGGTTTTTCGTTTGTCACGTTGACATAGTCGACGTCTAATATGTGACGTCATTTCCGCGATCTGCGCATGCGTCGGGTCGTCTGGCGTCGTCAGGCCACATTTGCGAACCCGTTCATCGATGATTTGAGGTTCGTCAGAAAACTAGTGACCCGTCGTCAGAATGACGTCATCTTGCTACATCGCAGCGTAAATCAGAAAGTAAAAACAGAAAGAGAAATTGATAGAATGATTAAAAAACAAAGAATAACATAAGGAAAGACAGAAAAAAAGTGTGATAGAATGATAAAAACAAAGAATAACATAAGAGAAGATGATAGAAGGAAAAAACAAAGAATAACATAAGGAAAGACAGAAAGAAAAGGTGAAAGAAGGAAAAAACAAAGAATAACATAAGGAAAGACAGAAAGAGAAGGTGACAGAAGGAAAAAACAAAGAATAACATTAGAGAAGATGAAAGAAGGAAGAAACGAAAAATAACATAAGGAAAGACAGAAAGAGAAGATGAAAGAAGGAAAAACAAAGAATAACATAAGGAAAGACAGAAAAAAAAGTGTGATAGAATGATAAAAACAAAGAATAACATAAGAGAAGATGATAGAAGGAAAAACAAAGAATAACATAAGGAAAGACAGAAAGAGAAGGTGAAAGAAGGGAAAAAACAAAGAATAACATAAGGAAAGACTGAAGAGAAAGTGAAAGAAGGAAAACAAAGAATAACATAAGGAAAGACAGAAAGAGAAGGTGAAAGAAGGAAAAAACAAAGAATAACATAAGGAAAGACAGAAAGAGAAGGTGAAAGAAGGAAAAAATAAAGAATAACATAAGGAAAGACTGAAGGGAAAGTGAAAGAAGGAAAAAACAAAGAATAACATAAGGAAAGACAGAAAGAGAAGGTGAAAGAAGGAAAATCAAAGAATAACGTAAGGAAATACAAAAAGAGAAAGTGATAGAATGATAAAAACAAAGAATAACTTAAGAGAAGATGATAGAAGGAAGAAACAAAGAATAATATGAGGAAAGATAGAAAGAAAAATGATAGAATGATAACAACAACAATAACATTAGGAAAGACAGAAAGAGAAAATGATAAAGAATAGACAATGGAAAGATAGAAGAGAGATGATGAAGAAGGAAAACAAAGAATATCATAAGAAAAATAGAGAGAGTATAATAGAATAATAAACGAAGAACAAAATAAGAAGTGAAAGAAGGAGAAAATGAATAAGCGCGTGCGGGGCCATTACGTCATCGTGTAGAGAACGTGTGTCAACTTAAAACGAAAAGGGTTATAAGGTAGTGAACAGGACGGGTGTCTGACGTCAATTTGCATCGTTAGAGGACGTGAACGCCGTCCTCGTCCACACAAACGAAAAGCCCCTATTTTCCCTAGAAACCCCCCTCAATCAGGGTCTGTACCTGGGCAGAGAGCACCTGCCCCAGTACATCAAAACCACGTCAAAACACGGAACTTCTGACCACAAGAAACTATGAGTAATGACCACAGTCTCACTCTTCAGTCACGTCAGATATTGTTGTTGTTTAACAACAAAGAATGTGCTTCATGTATTGACCATCTTAAAATCAATGGTGGATCCAAGGAGCTATTTCATTGATGGAACAACTTTATTGTTCATGAATCATGGCAAGATAATAATTATAGATTTTTTTTTACGCGGTAGGATAATAGTGTTTTTTGTGCGGTTCATTTGCAACAGTTGATAATTATTGAGTCAACTTGTTTATTTATAGGTCATTGTAAAGATACTCAAGCCGCAAAAAAGGGGGAAAAAGAAAGGAGAACACCAAAGGAATCACTAGAGAGAGAGAGAGAGGGAGGGAGGGAGGGAGGGAGGGAGGGAAGAGAGAGAGAGAGAGAGAGAGAGAGAGAGAGAGAGAGAGAGAGAGCACATGATTTAGCAATCGAGGAGGGGGAGGGGGCGCATTGCATATCCCCTCTCTCTCTCTCTCTCTCTCTCTCTCTATCTATCTATCTGTCTACCTTTATCCCAATTTCTACTTTTTCCCCAATTTTCGCCATTTAACAGGAGGGTGCACGTCCGCTGCTCCATTCACTCACCTCACTCCCTCCTGCTGGTCATCTGATCACCCATGGAATCTAGCCTGAAATTAGAGACTATACCTCACAATCACATACACACCCTCTTGGCGAAGAGCCAAATTACTATTAATTTCGTCGTAAAGAAGTTCCGATACTTTCATTGATGAGCTGCACTTTTCTATCAATCGATGAACTTTAAGAGAACTTTTGATAACAAACAAGCCATCACAATAACCATGACCACGGCGGATTTGTACACGGACTCCTGAAGGAATATTGTTGTGAAAGAAGTGTGAGAAAATATCAAGTGAGGATAAGAGAGTGAGGAGTTGGGAAGGGGTAATAAAGATGGGCGGGGCGGGGTGATAACAGCAAAAGGAAAAAGAACGATTAAAAGGGGCCAATCGTATAATTTCTGATTTAAGTGAAAGACGTGTAAGCGTTGCAGATGATAATTATTAATGAAAAATAAGATATCAAAAAGGGAGCTTGATTCAACGAAAGCATACTTTATTTGGAAATATGGTCTGTTTCTTTCTTTCTTCAACGTGACTAAGTTTGAAATATGGTTACAACTCGTTACAACTTATAAAGAATCCCCAAACACACCTCCCATTTTATGATAGAATAAGCATTAACCGGTCCGAGAGGGAGGTTTGTTTGTTTTTGTTGGTGCTCCTCCCCCGATTTTGTTCAATCCTCTATAAATTAATTTGCGAGGCATATTTGTATAAAATTAATGCAAGAACCCCCAGCACCATCAAAGGTCCCAGAACCCCCCCCCCCCCCCGCCAAACAAATATATATATATATATATATATATATATATATATATATATATATATATATATATATATATATATATATATTCCTCTAGAACCCGAAAATAAGTTATCATCATTTCACTCTTGGCATTGGTTCAAACTAATTGATTTATTCGCGTCCTTTTATTCTGTCATTTATGCATTCCCTTTTATCAGATGAAGGTTGCCATTTTATGAATCGAATTGATTTGTCTTGTATTCGTTAGAAAGAACATTGACCACGTAACCCCGACCCAGCTCTGTTGAAAGGAAGTGATTTGCGGCTATCTGTACAAGCTGCATTCTGACGTCAAAGTGATATTTAACCAATTGTTTAGCTATATGGGCACACGCAAACCACCCCCCCCCCCCCGCTTCGCATGGCAAACGAAAAAAAGAGAAGAAGAAAGAGTTCTTTTAAGAGAGAGAGAGAGAGAGAGAGAGAGAGAGAGAGAGAGAGAGAAATAAAATGGGGGGAGATGAAAGGACCATCTTTCAGCCCCCCTAATGAGAACCAAATAAATTAGCATATCATTTCCGAGTGAGACCCCCATTTTGCTAGTGTCCCTCTAATTGCTGGATTTTCGCTACGCCCCTGGACTTGACGTTTATAATGTGGTTAAAAGATAAGGATTCCGAAGTGATGATAAGATTTGAAAATGGGCATTTGGAATCCTTTCTAAAAAGGAAATGATCTGAGGGGCGTTTGTCATATAACCAACTCACCATTCCCTATATTCATTCCCCTTTGTCCGAGTGACCTTTTTGTCTTAAAACTGTATTCATTACATGCTTATTGGCGAATGACCTCTCATTAAAGTGTTCTCAATAACGGTGGTTGGTTTGTCACGTTTATATTTCACTTTAACTGTAATACTTAGCAATAAGATAATCTTAAGAATAAGATGATGCCGTTCT